GGCGAGGCTGCCGAGCACTGGCGCCACCAGTCCCTCCGACCACCACCAGCAGGCAACTTGGGTCAAGTGTCTTGCCCAAGGACACAACAACAGCGACAGACTGAGCGGGGCTCGAACCTGCAACCTTCCGGTTACGGGGCGAGCAATTAACTCCTGTGCCACCGTCGCCCAGGTGGCACAGGAGTTAATTGGATGCGTTTGTAAATTTTATCTGCCGCTCTGAAAATGCGCTCTCCAGTTAGAAAAAAAAACAGCAATGAATGCTGGATTTATTTTTATTTTTTTTCACTGCAGAGTGAATTTATTCACAGAAAAATAGAATGCTGCCATTTTCATGAGAATAAACGAATGGTTTCTGACATCAAAGTGGGCATAAAATGGCATATTAGAATAGGGGCACATGTTTCAATCAGCAGTTTGAGAATTCATTTATATATCCGGTCCAGTGATCCGGTTCAGTTTCTTTCCTCTGAGACGCCTTGCAAAAATCAAGCCCATGCTGTCAAGAGCCCACCTGGAGCGGGTACTCCATGCTTTTGTAATTTCTAGGCTTGATTACTGCAGCTCTCTATAACCAGGGTTGTGTCAGTCATCACTGCATCGCCTACAGGTTGTGCAGAACAGCGCAGCCAGGTTCCTGACTGGGACCAGGAAACGGGACCACATCAGTCCGGTTCTGGCCTCCCTGCACTGGCTTCCGGTTTGCTATCGTTCACAATTCAGACTCCTCGTCTTTGTTTTTAATTTCTTCCAGGGTGGTGCTCCCCCTATCCGGCCACGCTCCTGAACAGACATTAGCCATCACGCGCTCTGCGCTCCTCTGACCAAGGCCTGCTTGTTGTCCCTCGTTCTAGGTGTCGTACTCGCGGGGACCGGGCTTTCTCAGTCCTAGCATCGTCACTCTGGAACCAGTTGCCACCCTCAGTTAGGCTGTCCCCATCTCTGCCAGCCTTCAAGAGCCGCCTAAAAACACACCTCCTCCGCTTGGCATTTCCAGAACATGTTTGAATTTGGCCCTCTTTTATGTTGATTTTATCTCACAGTTTTCATTGGTTCAATTTTTCACTTGTTTTACACATTTGTCTTCTACTAGAATGTTTCACCTTTTTTGTAATTTACAATCTGTAATTTGAATTGCTTTTATTTTCTGATTTATTCACTTTATTTAACTTTGTGCTGTACCATGTTCAACGCCTTGGGCTTCCTGACAGGGTTGCGGAAGGCACTTTATAAATAAAGCTTTGATTTGATATAGGCGCATTTATAATCCACACAGACCTTAACTGAGCTAACGGGTGCCGGTGCGTGAGAAGCAGGCAAGTGCTGCTGCGTTCAAGTGTTTCAGTTTTTTTTAATGAATTAAATTAAAAATAAAGGCGCCCTGCCCATGTCCAAGGTAATTACACAGTCGTTGGCCCGAAGCCCGGCCCTCGGGTCGTCGGGCCGGGCCGACCCATGGGCCTAGGGCTTCAGTGTAGGGCTCTAGGTGAGTCCTTGGGCAGGACTCTGAACCCTGAAAGTTGCCCCCAGATGGCAACTGCCCCTCTGGGCTGGGCCAGTTGCAGAGGAATAATTTCCACAAGGGGATCAATGAAGTACCAATTATTGTTGAACTTTAATTTTTGCATGAATGCACCTTTAGTAGTATCTTGTATTTTCTCTTACTTAACCTTAAAGAGCTCCTTCACTGAGAAACCCTAATATAATTATTGTTTCTGATTATAATCAGTCACTGAGGTTTTCATGCAGGCTGAACATGAAAATAGTCTCCTACACCTATCTCCTGCATTAGCTGCTGATAGAAAACAGACGGTGAAACTCTGGACTTAGAACAGCCTGACAGGCCTACGTCACACTGTCACTAAACATTCATGGACTCACCCATCTTGACGGGGAAGGCTGTTGTTGGGTTAGCATCTAGGAAACAGCAGAGAACGTCTCAGCTAGTAGAAGCTAACTGTTAGCATTAGCAACTCCACCACACAGCAGAACTCCTTCAGGCTTGTGTTATTTGCGGAGATAGAACATCAACGTTGCAGAGCAAACAGAGTAAGTGGTGGAGTTGTGTTGCTGTTAGCCAATCAGAAGAGAGATGTCCAAATATCAGGAAACAAGAGTCCGTCTTCTGAAGCTACTTTCTCATCCAGCTGATTTCTGTGCGCTGAAACAGACACACCAGACCTTCTTACAATGCATTAATCCCGACTAGAGACCACTGCACACTAATTAAAAATATGAGTAAAGTTCCTCGTTTAAAGGGAGTTTTTACGCCAATGTCACCTTTTGCATACTAATGTGTTACCATGTTGGTCTCCACTGCCTCTAAGACACTCCAAGCTTGACTAAAAAACACCCATCTGCATCCTGTCTGTCTTTAGGTTAGGATTTATATCCTTTTAAAAAGTTCTCATTTGTGACATCACAGTCAGGGATATTTGCATAGAACCACCCCTCCCAGATATCAGAGCTCCCCACCTCAATGCAGTCAGTCATGCAATGGATGGGTGGGTGGGTTGGGTCAGCAATTAAAGTGACAGAGACCTGAGGCAGCTCATTCTGGAAGGTATGAAACTAGAAATTAGCTGGTGAGATGTGAGAGAACTTCACCAACCTGTTCTGGATAGATCATAGACCTGGTGTAACATGCATATGTCCCCTTTAAACCTCTCAAGGGCTCCGGATTTAGCAGAAGTCTGGCTGTTAATACACCACAATAGATCTTTCATCTCCAACACCCATCCCTGGTTACTGTTGCTATGCATGGCGGCATGTCGTCGTCACAGTTGCATCCAGTCGGCATGTCAGTACAGCCAGGAGGTCTAAGAACAGAGAATAACGAGAAAGGCTTCATCAGTGCTCTCTTCAAATGTCAGAGAGGCTTTAATGATCTGCTGAGCGCACCGAACGGCTGTGTGTGTGTGTGTGTGTGTGTGTGTGTGTGTGTTTTCTGCATTATTAGCATTTTCAGTAATCCTGCCCATCTTTATTCCCTATTTAATTTTTTTGTTACTTATCTGGGTTACCAAACATGTGATTTGTACCATTGTTGGGTCACACTTAGACAAAGTTTGAAGTAAGTGAGCAATCACTGCAATTTTCTTCAAATCATGAGTGTGTTCACAAGAACGAGACATTACTCACCATTATGAAGCCAACTGGATGCACTCTAATTGCTGTGTTGCACAGAAACACCCTCTTCCAGCAGAGTAATGTCATTTTAAGATGCAACAAAACAAAATAAACCTGTAATGTCTTTTACTAATGTGTGTGTGTGTGTGTGTGTGTGTGTGTGCGTGCGTGTGTGTGTGTGTGTGTGTGTTTGATATCATTACTGAATAGTAGAGTCAGTTCACCAGCAGGGAAATACTCTAAATAATTCATGGGGAGAGATAAGCGAGTGGTAAATAAAGAAGAATTGTGAGATAAAGACGGACAAAAGACAAATTTAATAGAGAGGAGAGAAACAATACGACACCAAGCTGGAAAGAAACAAGTGTTTATGATTGGTTCAGAGCAACCAGATGTGTTAGTGGCAGATAAGGAGCAGAAATAATAAAAATCAAAAAGCAGAAAATGAGTCAGAGACGGTGGAGACTTCCGAAGAGGACCATGTGAAGCAGAGACGGATCCTGGGTAAGAGGACAGGCTGTTGAGTGAACATGCCGGCCGGGGCTCTTGGTGCATTGCAGACGGCATTGCCATGGAAACGAATGGAGGGAAAGCACAGATGAGGAGGAGGAGGAGGGGATTAAATAGGAAGGAAGACATTGCTGCTTCACACTATTCAAGGGGTGTGTGTTTTGATGAGGGGGAAGGGCATGCTGGGAAATGAGTTGATGAGAACTTTATTAAAAAAACAAACACATCAGGAAGGTATCATCATTTTTACTGATGTCATCACTTGTGAACAGACACGAGCAAAACACCGTTCCAATTAACCTTAGTTTTCTTTAATAATTAAATGTGATGAACCTGTCGCCATGGCGCCCTGCTGCCAGCTGTCTTGTTTGGGTCCAGATCCTATGGCAGAGTTGTCATGGTAGCAGGAGCTCATAGACTTTGTCTCGTGCTATGACGACGCTGTCTGTTGGAAATATTCTTGACTGCAGGATTATAAATAGAAAAGCATCAGAAGACAGAACCCCTTCCTTCCTCTCCTCCCAAACGCCCGTGGGACCCCATCATTCTCATCTTTCTCCTCTCCATCCCTGCTCAACCCCTTGTTCTCTCCTCCTCTCTTCATCCCTTATTCAAAACCCTCCGTCCTCATCACCTCAACTCCCCGAAGCCTCATCGAGTGGCTTTGTTTGCCTTTGTTTATCTCCGTGGTGATGGCAGGGATGCAGGGTGTCTGTGGTTGTCATGGCGATGAGACGGGCATGGCAAGGATGCTTAATGAGGCTGGAGTTTCTCAGGCTAATGAGATGGGACGGCTGAGGCGGGGTGTGTTTTTATTTCATCCTACGACGGCGAACAGCAGCTTATTAAAAGTTACTTGACTGTGTAGCTGAACTATCTGGAGTTTCTGCTTTAACCAGAGCACAAAGCTCAGGAAGCTGATCTGGTTCCTGCTGCTATGGCTACTTCAGTGTTAACAGGTCCAGTGAAGCTCTGCGTGAGCCTCCTGCCTTATCCATGCAGTCACGGTGGTCCGGTTTGGATTCTCTGTTCGTCTTGTGGCGAGCGGAGCCATGGCGAGCCAGTGTCAGTACCGCACCCTGTTGAAAGCATCACCTGCCAAAGGGGCTCGCCGGTGTGTATTAATGCCTGAGAAGTGAGGCTTTTTAACAGAGCAGGGACATCCCGGAGGATATCAGGCCAGATTGCTTTTGCATTTGAGTGAGCTTGCTTCAAAACAAACATTTGAGAGGCGGGCCGTCCTCAAGGTGAATTTCAGTTGCCTGGTCGTTTTGAAGAAGCAAACCATGATGATGAAATAAAACGTAGTTTTGGTCCGATGCGTATCTCAGCTGCAGCCTAAAATCTGTGGTGTTTTTTAGATGGAGGGATGAAGAAGCTTCGCAGCACCATCCGAAGGAGCACAGAGACCGGCATCGCCGTGGAGATGAGGAACCGAGTGACACGGCAAGGCAGCAAGGACTCCACGGACGGCAGCACCAACTCCAACAGCTCAGATGGAACGTACGTACCTCCCCCTCCTCTCACCCATCCACATGGAGCATCCCACTCATTGTTATCATTCCCGTTCCCCTCAGGTTTGTCTTCCCCACCACTCGCCTGGGGCCTGAGAGCCAGTTCAGTGACTTTCTGGACGGACTCGGACCCGCTCAGATCGTAGGCCGACAAACGCTAGCTACACCCCCCATGGGTAAACTTGAGTTGTTCCACAAAACTCACGTTTAAAATAAATCTTTCCTGACTATAAACCCTTACAGGTGATGACGGCTCTTTCACTGAGATGCAGAGTTCAGTTGGAACCAAGACAACATCAAACAGTACTTTATGTTCACTCAGCAAACATTTATCCCTGCATGAGGAAAGCATCATTATTTGACGCTTTGGGTGTGAGAATGTGTTGAAATATTTGATGTCTGGGTTTGAACACAGAGCAGATTCGTCCTCTGTAAAAACAGCTGCGGCTCTCTGTCGCCCTCTGCTGTTAGACTGCAGCATCTTCAAGCTTTCGGTTAAACCCTAAACACCCAGAAATGGTTTTAACTTCATCTATTTACTTATTTTCTTAGATTCTTGTGTTTCTGATCTCTTTAGGCGATGTTCATGTAGGCATGGTTGACAGAGGAGGACAGCTGGAGGTGGAAGTGAACCAGGCCAGGGGGTTGACCCCTAAACCAGGATCTAAGAACACACCAGGTACTTCACCTGTCGAGCCTGTTTCATAAAGCAGCTCAGGTGGAGCTTCACTCTCCTTTATTCCATTCCAGCGACCTACGTGAAGGTGTACGTCCTGGAACATGGAGTGTGCTTGGCCAAGAAGAAAACCAAAGTAGTGAAGAAGAATCTGGACCCAACCTACCAGCAGGCTCTACTGTTTGATGAGAGTCCTCAGGGCAAAGTCCTACAGGTAGGTCATGTTTGTGTGTTTTATTCTGTTTAAGCACGAGCGGGTTCAGCTGTGAGCTTTAATGCAGGTTAGTCGTTAACAGCTTAGAGCTGTGAAGAGCCTCCGTTTGGAGAAACAGCGTAGTTAGTTTGGACCAGATTGATGAGCTAACTGCTAGACTGTGTGGGCCCAAGACCCATGTAGACTGCTGATGTCTTAACTCAGCTCTAATCTCAGAAATGTTCTAGTGGTTCGTGCCAACACGGTCTTATAGACCTCTAAATGGTTCTGCTCTCGGTTTATCCCTGCGGCTGTTGGCTGGAATCACTGCTACTGAAGGAAAGACATCAGGATCCGTTGCTCTTACATTTCAGCCGATAACATTTCTGGTTGGAATTTTATAACGATTGGAATGATTTAGATGACAGAAGTCCACTTAGTAACCGGCCTACACTCGGTAGCCGTTAGCTCGTTCCAACGCATCAGGTAGAATACGCTGAGGACATCAGCTTCTCCTAAACCCGACTGACCTAAACCCGACCTTCTGGAGCTCAGGTAGTTGAGGTAGTTAAATAAAGACTCCCTGATGGATCCCACTGGTGAGGAGAGCCCAACTGCTGGTCAACTTTGTTAACTTGGAGAAGGTTTGTGGTTCAGTCCCTAATTTTGTTTAAAGATTGGGTCTTCTACTGGAGACCATTTGGTCCAGGGTTTGGTTTTCATCTCTGGTAGCGTGTTAGAACACCGACAGACTCTCATGTCACCACCCTGTCTTCTCCAGGTAATAGTGTGGGGGGATTACGGGCGTATGGACCACAAGTGCTTCATGGGAATGGCCCAGATCCTTCTGGAGGACTTGGACCTGTCGGCCACAGTCAGCGGCTGGTACAAGCTGTTCCCTACCTCCTCTCTGGCAGACCCCAGCATCGGACCCCTCACCAGACGCCTCTCTCAGTCGTCCCTGGAGAGTGCCACCAGCCCCTTGTGCACCTAGACGCCCACACGAGCAAGCCGAGTCACTCACACACACACACACACACGCACGCATGCACGCACGCACACACACACACACACACACACACACACATCCTGTTACTCCACTCATATTTCAGCCACTGATTAGCAGGTCTAAGACCTAAACATGTAGCATTTTTCACACACCACCGGCGGGGTGCCACGCCCCCTTATCCCAGGTCACCTGATCTCCGTGGCGCGTCTCATCCCAGGGCCATCCCAATGCCAGTTTCTAAACTCTCTATGCCAAACCGAGAAACAAAACTTTATTTTTTAAAACCAAAGCAATTGTTATTGTTGTTATATAAGTAGTGGGTGAACTAGTATACAATATCAAGTCTGGATATGTAGCAGAGTCAATGACTTAGATGTAATGCAAAAAGAAAAAACAAAAGAAAAAGAAGATCCGTTCTGCACTCACGCTGAGATGGACGAGTCAAACTCAAACAAACCTGCAGAAATTCACGTGAGGTAGCAACACTGCTGTTCTACCATTTCCACAGGGCAGAGTTTATATCTAAATATACTCCTGAATAGATAGCTAAACGCTTATTTGTCTTTATATAGTAATATGTGTATCGGCTGCATTCTGCATGACTGCTTGCGAGACATTTAGAAGTGCTTCAATCTTTTGATGTTTTATTTTGGAGCTTGCTCTGACTGGAGGAGCAGTGCTGCTCTGGGGGGAAGGCCTTTGGTCTGACAGCTGGAGCGACGCCTTCACCTTCAGACCCACGGAGCAAATCAGGGGGCGGAGCTTGTGTTCCACAACTGTCTACCAGCACTTGGACTTTAATTTTTTTGCACTTCCAGTTTCTTGTTTGTCTTGATGTCAATAATTCTTCTTCCTGTTTGGTGAAGGACGCAGGGCTCCTTCCTTGCTGGTCTCCTGGCGGCTGCTTTCTCACCACTCACCCATGCTTGCTCCTCTGAACCTGCTGTAAATGTGTAAACATGTAAATATCTCCTGAAGAGGTGTTCCTTTTTAGATATCTATTACACACTTATTATCATTATTATTATAAACAGTACCCAGCCATAATATAGTAGTTTTTTTCTTGTTTCAGGTGCAATATGTCAGCATTCCTATTTTATATTTCCTGCAGAAAGTTTGTGTTTTGGATTGCACTTTACTATAGTTATGAATCATTTTTAACTTTGAAACTTGAGCTATTGTCGACCATTTCTGTTATTATTATTTTTTTTAATTTGATCAAACACAACAGAAACAGACTCAGAGTGGATTTTATTACATTTCAAAGATGCACTAGAGCAGCTGAAACAGGTCAGTCCTGCCTGTCATCACACATGAAATCCACGTCGTCAGTAGCGGGATTTCCTTGCAAAAAACAAAACAAAACATGGGTGTTGTCGCCATATCTACTTATATCTAATGAACCGTTTTCTCTGCTGTCCCTTTTTCCAGGACAGAATGATTATTCAGCATGTAACCAAGAGTCTGGTGCTGATTACCGTAATTGTAGTTTTTCTGCACAAGGTCAAACCTACATACAGCTTCAAATACTTACACACCTACATCTGCATCTTTCATTGATTGGTGCTGAAGGTTCTAGAAGGTTGGCCGTCTCTCTTTGCTAAGCTAGAAATGATTTCTTGTAAAGAACTTACTGGACTGACCAACACTCCGAGCAACGGGAAATAGTTAAGAAACTCAATTTTATATTATAATCGGTCACTCTGAGATTTTCATGCAGGCTGAACATGACAACAGTTTCCTTCACCTAGAGATGAAAACAGACGGTGAAACTCTAGGATTAGAAAAACCTGATAGATCTACGTCACACTGTCACTTAACGTTCATGGACTCACCCATCTGGACTCACGACGGGGAAGGCTGTTGTTGGTTTAGCGTCCAGGAAACAGCTGAGAACGTCTGGGCTAGTAGAGGCTAACCGTTAGCAACTCCACCACACAGCAGAACTCCTCCAGGCTTGTGTTATTTGTGGAGATAAAACATCAACGTTGCAGAGCAAACAGAGTCAGTGGTGGAGCCGTGTTTCTCTTAGCCAGTCAGAGGAGAGATGTCCACACATCAGGATGCCATCAAATATCTGGCTGAATTCTCCACGCTGAAATGGGCGCCAGAGAATGACTTACAAGGCATTCATTCCTACTAGAGACCGCTGCAAATGTATTAAAAATATAAGTAAAGTTGACTTTTGAAGATATTTCTAAACAACTTTGGATTCTAAGATCATCAGTTCAGTTAACGTCATGTCTGTTTGTTTCCTCTGTCGCTAAGCAAAGAGCCAGACCGTCCCTCTGAGCTGAGAGGAGACCGGTGGAACTTGCGTAGAGGAAAGAAATCCACGATAAATTTAGACTTCTCAATTAGAAGACTCTAGTTGAACGTTTCTGGCCGTGGCGATAAAGAATCACTCTGCAGAGCCGGAAATCTTTTTTCTTCTTTAAGAATGAAACAGTTCTATGTTTACATGGCCTGACCTGAATTTGTACTCTAGGTTGATTACATGTGAGAGTACTTCATTAGGATCTGAGAAGTGGTGAAAAAGCACCAGAGACCTGTCAGCTGTTCTAGTGGGTGAGTTGAGCGCAGCCCAACACCAAATCGTGCTGCTGGATAAAGATCGTTGTTTGGGTTTATTGTCACTCTTTGTTCTTTCATCCGAGCTCTTGTCTTACTGTTGTTCAGGAGAAAAAGGGAACACTTAGTCGTCTCAGACTAATACGACTCACAATTCTTTGAACTTTGGAGGAAAGGGATCTCTGAAACTCTTAGATGATAGAAACAGGTTGTGTGTTGACATTGCTGTCCCTGCTTTAACACCCCAGTGGATTCATCCCTTTTTATAAGCACCGTCAAGATCGGAGTAAGGTTTTGATGCTATCCCTTTGCTGTACCTGTACCTGTATGGTCAAATATATGACCCGATTTTATGTATCTTATATTTTTTACGTAATTTTTTCGGGGACAGCTGGCATGATGTAAAATATGAGGATTGCCTCTCTGTACACAGTCTTTTAAATGTGCGCCATTCGGAGGGAAACACAAGGGTTGGAAGTCGGGTTAGAACATGAAATGGAACGATCCTCCAAAAAAAAAAATGTTTTTTCATTTTAACCTCCCGACTAGATAAAGAGTTTTTTGAGAACTCTAATATTTTCCTGTGTGAATCCTGTTTGCTGTTCACTGTTTACCACACTTCTTCTTCTTCAGATGACTGAAAGTAGAGACTATTGAGTGCATTTGCCATATTTGTGCAAAATGTTTGATTCCTGCAACCAAAAAGCGGAGAAGTTCGGATGTTGCCTTCGACGTGTCGCGTGTTTTATTAATGAGGTGCATTTATTGTGCTGTGTGATGCATTCATGTGTGGCAGCGCAGTGAGTGATGTCATGTAGACTCTGACTGATGCAGACAGGGCTCAGGGTTATTCTGAGCATCAGCGTCTCTTCTTTTAGAAGCTTTTGTTGTGTTAAAAGTCCTTAATGCACATCGCACGCTGCCTTTCATGCCAGAGTTTTAAAGGTGATGTTTAGAAATAACACAATTATAGTCTGTTAGCTGCGATCTCCAGAAATCTCACTGGGAGGGAGTTCAGGAATGACAGGGACCGTTGGAGCTACGGTGTCCTGTATGTAGCACTCGGAGTGTCCTGGAGATGACGCTTAACTAAAGCTGCACCACATTTTCGCTGTGGTTCTGTAAACGTGGCGGAGCTGTATTCATCTGTTTAACTGGCTACGGCGGCCATCTTGAATGATGACTGTAAACATTACTCATTCGTAGACGAACGTGTAGCACTTCTTCGGATTCGTTCTGACTTGGTCTTGAGAAGTTTTGCTAAACGAGGAACAGGTTAACTCGAACGAGGCGTTTGGATCAGGTGGTAGCTCGATAAAACTGACAGAGTTCAGTCTCGATTAGTTTTGGAGACCATCTTGAACAGGGCTGACAGTTTCTATACCTCAGTGGTTAAGGAGTTAGTTGATGCCAAGGTTAGGACTGGTGGTCAGCTACTGTTGCAGGTCAACATGTCAGTCACAGACCAACAGTCGGGTTTACACGGCAAATGAATGGTGCCAACTTTTGATCCTTTCAACAATCCTGTGAGTATTGTAACGACTCTAAGGATGAGTCCATCAGATGTTCCTGCCGTGTTTGGGACCTCAGGACCACTCTGATCAATAATCTGGGATTTTCAACAGGTTTTACTGTCTCGTCCCGATATTCCAGCACAGGTTGTGTAACCCAACGACCCAAACGAGAGTGTCGCCTGTTGAATGGGACTTGTAGCCAATCATGAGTCCACAAACTTATCACCAATAGCTCCTCTTTGTCCGCCATGTTGGTGTACTCCAAAGTCCCGTTTGATCCCGAGAGTTTTCGTGAGATTTCCCGTGTGGCCAGGGAATGTTCGTGAGTCACATGTGGACTCTTTCATGTTTTGAGGTGGCCCTCAGAGACCAACATCAAGCTCAGAGTTTTGGTCATCTTGTGTTTGAGCAGCTTTGGCAGCGGGTGTATGACTTTAGTGAGTTTTAATAAAGCTACAGTCACCATGAAATACCAGGATGTTGTCTGTCTTGGTTTGGAGGGGCTGAAAACTGCACAGACCTTGTTTGTTTTTATTGTGACGGTGGATTCATAAAGCACGACAAAAAAAAAAATCACTGGATTTATCAAGTGTTCACTGTCGACACTTTAGGAGCGTAGAGTCCGAAACGTGGAAACTTGCTTCGTCCTCTCTGCAGTACTGTGTTGAAAACACATTTTATTTTTGTAAGGACAGAGATTTTATTGAGAGAGCTTGAGAGAGGTGGCGCGGGGTAACACCTGCCTTTAGATTTTTGCAAAAACAATGAGGGCTTGATCAGTTTACAATTGCCTTATGTTGAGTAGGAGACATGCTTCATTATTGTAGCACACAGATGAAAGTTCTGAAATGTATTCTGCTTGTAATGTTGTAGTGAAGTTCTATATGTGTATATCATTTTATGAATGTATTCTATATGCTGACACAGCGATGGCGTGCAAATGTTTGTCACCTTCTTTGCTATATTTCATCACTTTTAAAGACTTTTAGGGGACTTGGGTGTCCTCCACTCTTACTGTACTGTATTCTGTTTGTCCTACTGCATCCTGAACAGAACGGCTCTGTCAGCGCGAATCCCGTTGGGCGACACACCTTTTTTTATTTATTTAGAAATCGCCAAGATGGCTTTCAAGCTGAAAGGAGTGCTGCCCCCATCCCTGCACCACTTAACCTCTCAGATTTACCCAGCTGATCTAGGAAACGTTTGCAGCATGGTGTGTATAACAATAATCCTGAGCTGAAGCGTAATGCTGACACCACTGGTGAAGAAAACGAGCCACAGCAATGGAACAGATTAGAACCGATGAGATGCGAGAGAACGCTGTATCTTAAAGTAGCCTTGCGTTTTCACACTCTTTCTGGCAATAAGCATTAGCTGTAGCCTCTACGGTTGCCAGGACTTGTTCTGTTTCTCAGAGCGGTGGTGGTGCCAGCTGAGCCACCATAACAAATAAACACATTTTCAAGCGCTTGAAGTAATTTAGACTGAATTAGCATGCACTGCATTGTGTACATAAGCTATATTTTTGATATCCTTCATGTGCAGCAGAGTTTAATTCATTTTCTGTTATGGAAGCATGCATTCCACGGGTGTTTGCTCGAGTTGCAGCTGTCACGAAAGAAAACATCCCTGCTGAGCTGAACGCTCATCCACTCCATCCATGTCTTATCAGCAATCACAGAACACATTTAAGCAGCCATTTAGCCCTTTTTCTTCTCTGTCAGACAAATTTAAGGCCGCAGTAGCTTCCGTTGCGACTGTCAAGACAACCCTTCATCTTATCAAGCCCAGAAAGCACAAAACGTCTTACTCGAAACAAAGTCAATGCTTTGGACCAAAATTAAATTCCCAAGCACATTTATTAAACTAAATGCAAAAACACAAGCAGATGTCTTGTGAAACTAACATAAAATGTACATTAGTGACACTAATGCTGGTGTTGGTAAATGAGTGGTTGTCTTTTCCGAAATGGCCTTAAAAGGTTCCAACGAGGAGTGTTTGAGCAGAGGTGACGAGAAACAGACTGTGATGAAACGATGTGGTTTGTGAGAAGGAAGACAAAAAAGCGGAGCTGTAATTTTCTACCTGTGCTTTGTAAATGTTTTCTATGTGCAGTATTTGATAATGTAAAACTGGTATTTTTGTGGTTTGTACGCTGCAAAATTGATTACTTAAGGTGCACGTAGTTTTGTAAAAAAAATAAATAAAAAAGGAACCAAATTGGTTGGAGAGAAAAAAAGAGGAGTTTCGGATTCAGAAGCTTGTATTTGCATGCCTGTTTAACATCTGGATGCGAAGTCAATAAAGTTTATTTGAATCACCGTTTTCTAGTTACCGCTGGGATTTGTGGATTCATCTCATGGTGCAGTGACTGTTTCTGGTCATTAGGGGGCAGTAGATTTAATGTAAATTGAAAACAACACCAGATATAATTATTTGAATGCTGCCCTTTTTTCTGTGTTTAATTATTTTTTGTAACTGCAGAAGGCATTTAATGCATTAAACAATACTCATTCTCCTTTTTCTACAAGAACGACTCAGCATATGTTAATGTGTATTGTTGAATTTATTGAACTAATGGTTTCATGTGTGAAAGTATACAGAACATAATCTGATTTATTACTCTAACATGCAGAAATAGCCTGACAAAAAAATCACAACTAAAAAATCCATAAAAAGTACATTCCTTCTTTAGTTTTATTTCACAGAAATGATTCCAGACCATCGACATACACATATATGGACAATAGGTTTCCACAGACTCCAATAATACCTTTTTGAGTTAAAATGGGAGGTGGCCACCACCGCCATTTTGACTGTGTCACAGGTTCAGTCAAGCCCAAGCAATTCCACCAAAATGGAAAAGAGGTGGAGCTGAGGGTAGGGCTGTAAGGCTGGGATCAAATGACGACACCCGTCGACAGTGGCGGATTTAGCAAATTGGGGGCCCAAGGCGAACATAGACATTAGGCCTCCTTACACTACATTTTTGACAATCTTATCTTTAACTGGATTTGTGAAACTCTCCCCTCTTCTGCCATGAGTTATTTTCCCTTTTTATTAATCCTCCTTTTTTTTCTTGTCTTTCTCTCCCTTTGAGTGCTTTCTTCTTCCTGTCAGTGCTCCTGTGCTTTTTGCCTTAGTTTATTTTTTCTCCCTTTAAACATTTTCCATTGTCTTTCTTTTCTGCTTCCTTTGATGTTTACATAGAAAACAACTTCACTTTCGGAAGTGAAGATGGAAGCTTTTTTGAAACAAAGCTGCTTCTTTCTCATATTGGAGGCACTAGGAGAACTCCATTTCATGCTTAATGTTTTGACTACCTCTTCAAGTTTTTACGAATGCTCCCACCTCTCTTCTTTTCTTATTTGTGGTCTTATGGCACTTGGCAAACAACAATTTGGTGCATTACTGCCACCAACTGGATTGGAGTGGAATGATTACCAATCACTTCCTGCTTGTGCATCGCCGTCTTAAATTAATAGTCCATTGTGGCATTAACAGAGGGGTGCCGGCGGTCAGGGCTAGGGGCCCCAGGCAGCCGCTGACCTATGCCTAATGGTAAAATTGCCAATGCCCGTCGAACTGAAGCTAATGTAGCTACAAGCTAACCCAAAGCTAACGCGGAGGTGGGAGCTAAGCTAACGGAGGTAGCAACCTAGCTACAACCAGAGTTAACTGTGCACAACACCAGAGCTTCTGAGTCACAGATACGCCGGGCTGACTGCTGCGTAAAACCGGGTGGAACACAGAGGTCTTGCAAGAGCTCCACAAGCTGGCAGTCGCGCAGCAGACAAGCGCCGCTGCGATCAGAGATGTGCAGAGCTGCAGGGAGGGGGCCATACCGATAGTCAGAACCCCCGCTCCACCAACATGTTTTATTTCAACCCATTTTCTAAAATGCAGCGTTACGTAAAATGCACTGGGGTTTACCCTATTAACTCATTCACTGCCATTGACGACTTAAGTCGTCATTTTAGATCCAACCGTTCACTGTCATTGATGACTAAAGTCTTCATTTTAGATCCAACCGTTCACTGTCATTGATGACTAAAGTCTTCATTTTAGACCGTTCACTGCCAATGACGACTAAAGTCGTCATTTGCATTTTTTTTACTGTTTGAGCATCTGAACGAGCCCCCGGGCTGAGAGAACAAACATCTCAGCCCTGAAGCCCATCTTCATCCACATACGTCACAGATCACATGATCAGGAAGCAACACATCCATGTGTTAGGAGATCGTTTTGGGCCGTTCCTGTAAAAAAAAGTGAGGCGCGAACTGGAAAAGCGTCTGTCGATCACAATTCGACAATGGATTATGAAAGAACGGATAACGCTCGAAACACGCTGCTTCTTCCTGATGTAAGAGGTGAGTCTCTTCTTTGTTTTGGTTGTTTTGGCATCGACATCATGCTAGCGCGCAACGTTCTGTGACTCTTAAAAAAACAGTAAAAACGGTGAGAAACGCTGGCAGCGAAGGCCGTTAGTGATCAGGAAACGGCTGGCAGTGAATGAGTTAAATTTAAATTTCATAGTTAAAGAGTACATGTTAAAATCTAAGCTCAGCTCGACAGTGACCTAAAATCATCGACATAAATACATAAATATAATTTTACTTACTGAAAAAAATGCAGTGTAGACTCCTTGGACGGTCTAGTAGTGCGATTAATACCACAGCAAGTCATTTAGTCCAACAGTTACACAAATAATATCCAAAAAAAAAAAAAAAAGAATACACAAACACTACAACTAATGGTCTAAGTTCAGAGACAAAAAATGGCGGAACAGTTTTCAGGTGAGACCGAGGCTCAGGCTGAGGCCTTTCCACAGAGCTCTGTGGTCACGTGGGTCTGATGCTCATTAATTATACAGAATTTTAGGCTTTTAATACACTTAAACAGAAGAGTGAGAAAAAAGTTCACCCCCCTCAGAGTTGTCATGAGTGTAAACTAGATCATTTAAACCAAAAACATGTTTTGGTACCAGGTTGTAAACATGTTTATTTCTGCTGTGAAATTAGTATTTTTAACATGGGAGTCAATGAGGATTTGCTCGCTTCTGACACCAGCCCCTAGTGGATGAGGGTGGAACTGCAATTTATTTCATTTCCTCATTGGCCTCACTTACAGACCCGCATTGTGGGGGCTTGTTCCAGACAATAAAAAACTAAAGCAAAGTTAATCTCAGAGCTGTTTCAGGTACTCCTCCTTGTTCGTTGATAGATATGTCACATTTTCTACAAAAAGTCGCTGCTCAAAGCGACTGTTTGTGACTGACCCATGTTCAGTAAAACCTGGGTCAGTGAAACAGAAACAGAATAAAACAAGAAGAGCTATGAAGGCTGTGCTGCTATTTGACTGGCAGCTAAAAAAGTGGCTACGTAAAACAAAAATGCTTTCACATAAAAAAGGTGGATGGACGGATTTTGTTTATGGCTTCATGCATCATTAAGAAAATCGAAAGGAAGTTAAAAAGTACAAAGAGATAGTTTGGACATCTTAAAGTAGGCCTCAGTTATGAACTAATATCTTTTGTCTGTCATGAGCCAACGGCTAGCTCAAACCAAAAATGTGTTTTGTTGCCACCTTCATATATATCAATTACAGTTAGAAGTTAATACATCCCTCCAATGTCGATGCCTTCAAAGTAGCTAAGTCTCAAAATGACACAATCTAATTTGCATATTTGGGCATGTGTATGGAACAGATCCTGTAGGAGAGAAGGGTAATGCTGTGAAAGAAACAAAAAGTCAAAAGTTAACATAAAGTTCCATCCATCTTCTGAACCGGCTTGTCCACGTAGGGTTGCGGGGGGTGGGGGGCTATCTCCAGCGGTCAGCGGGCAATCAGGCGGGGTACACCCTGGACAGTGTCAGTCCATTGCAGGGTAACACAGAGACACAGGACAAATAATTATGCACACAAACACACACACACACCTAAGGACAATTTACAGACCAACCAACCTAACAGTCATGTTTTTGGACTGCGGGAGGAAGCCGGGGTACCTGGAGAGAACCCACGCATGCACAGGGAGAACATGCAAACTCCATGCAGAAAGATCCCAGGCCGGGAAGCGAACCCAGGACCTTCTTGCTGCAAGGCAACAGCTCTAACCACTGCGCAGCCCCAACATAAAGTTGTTAAATAAATTTTCTTCTATCAGTTCCTGTTTCTGATGGCACAGCTCCAAGCTTTATCCAGATTTAGGAGCAGCAAAAATAACTAAGTTGAAGGTTTTTGTCAAACTCCGAAAAGAGGAGACTCACAAAAGGCTGACAGTAGAGAGGCGGAGTAACCAGTGGCTCCACCCCCTAGCCAATCAGAAACCAAGTCTCTGATGAGGCGTTTTCGGCCCGGCTCAGAACGGTGGGAACCACTTTGAAGCCGGTTCTAAAACTGGGCAGAATCCCTGTACCCGTCACTAGTGGAAACTCCTCGGAACCGGGCTGAACTGGACTTTGTAGGTGCTAGTGGAAAAGGGCCAGACATCAGGAAAAGGCACTAATTGTATAACGTTTTTGCTTGGGTGATCTGAATGTTTGCTAAAACAATGAGAAAAATGCTGAGTTGTCAACACGGAATACTACTTCTGAAATAACAAGATGTAAAACTGGCAGGAATGTTGAGATTAAGTTAAAATGAATAAGATTCACATGAGTTGGTGGCAATAAGAGCGGCAATCTAGTTTGGTCTGGGTCACATTACAGCTAGCTGTCAGACTTAAACCCTGACAGTTAAACAGCTAGCTCGATATTATTGTTCTCAATTTCACTCCAAAGTGTCCAAATTATTCCATTAGTGTCACTTGTGGAATTAGCCAAGTCACAAATGTTCCCAAATGACCCAAAAGAGCTTCAGTCTGATCACAGTTTGTGTTTAACCTGACAACTAACATCAAAACCTTTGTCCAAAAACACCAAAAGGCTTCCACTACAGAACCTGTAAAAGACACAAGTGAAAACTGCTGAACACAAGAAAAACAGCAGCAATACTCAGGTTTGTGTACCCAGAACTCGTCCGTACAATCATGACAACACATTCAGGACACACTGATGTTTTCTTCTTGGTCAAAGACTGATCAGTATGTTTAGCAGAGACTAACATTTGCATTCAGTCAGAGTTTAATAAACATTCTTCTCATGCAGGTCAGTGGAAGTCACTGAAACGTCTGTTTTTCTCCTCTTCAGACATTCATCGTTATTCAGTGGATATTTGAGGTGAGCTGTGCGAGCACGTACACGATGACCTGTCCGTTTTAGTGGTCCCACCATTTCTGAGGCAACAGCACAGTGGATCAGCGGTAGGAACAAGTACAGCCAAACAGAAAGTTGGTCTGTTTTCTTCTACTGACCACAAGTGGAAGAATAAAGGAATACTGTACATCCTAAATAAAGCTAGAGCAGATCTTTGGTGTTCCAAATTTCTATTCGAGACCTTTTGACACTTAAAGTTGTTGGTTTGAAAAGGAGCCCTCTTGTCATACCTCTAAATGTTGTTTACTGCAGGTAGGCGTTGTTGCGGTACTAGCTTATGTTACAGTGAAGATTTAGGGATAAATAAAGGGATTTATGAGTTGAAACATGGTGGACTGGTAGTCGTATACAGGCCTACTAAATCAAGTAGAAACTGTTAACATTTAAGATAAGTGACTCTTGGAGGTTTGGGCCATCAGAAATACCGGTGAATACCGGAAATACAGGTGAACGTGGAAAATGTAGCCTAGTGACCTACGTCAAATTCCTTCTTTGGTCTAGGAACGCTCCATTGGAACCTCAATGCTCCCCTAGCAGCATTCTGGCAGGCCAATCACAGCTCTATATCAGTTTCAAACTGATAGAGTGCCGTGATTGGTTTACAATGGTGGACCAATCACAGTGCTCTATCAGCTTTATGGGCCAATCAAAGCGCTCTATTGGTTTGGTGGGCAGGATGATGCGACAGAGTGGAACAAGATGGCTGCAGCTCGTTAGAAACGGCTTTTACATCAATTTTGGACTATTTGGACTTGGGCTTTATTACAATCAGGAGCAAATTGATGCGTTTAAGTCTTATTTAGAAAATAGATGTGCTTTTGCCTTCCTCAACAGCGGATTGCTTCGTTTACCGGCATCTGCTGCGGCGAGTCTGTCACGTTGTTCGTGCAAAGATCGTTTGAAAGACAACGGTAGAACCCGCCCCACGACCAAGAGCCGTCAACGGAGTGCTGCCAGACTAAATAATATATTTATTTAGACTAAAAATATTTTTATTCTGGCTTGCCAGGCTAGAAAAATTAGAATCTGGTGCAAAAGTTCATTTATGTCAGTAATTCAACTTAAAAGGTGAAACTAATCTATGAGTCAGACTCATTCTGGACAAATCCAGACTTTTCAGCCTTTATTTGTTATAATTGTGATGATTATAGCTTACAGCTGATAAAAACCTCACATTTAGAATATTGTGAAAAGGTTCAATATTCTAGTGTCACACGCTAATCAGGTGATGAATCCAGAACACCTGCAGAGGGTTCCTGAGCCTTTAGATGGTCTCTCAGTCTGAGATGGATTACTGACATAAATGGACTTTTGCACCAGATTCTAGTTTTACACTTCCACCCGTACAGCAGCGAATCTCTGATAAGGTTATGGTCATTTTCAGGAAGCTGTACAGATCTACCAGAAACCCTTCCTTTGTCAACCTGACAGATATGGTTGTGTCTCATCAACCAGTAGCCAGATGGACCAAGTTCAAATGGACACTTGTCAGGAGAACAAAATGGTAGATTTCCTTTTAAAAATACTTCAATAAACATGCTAAAAATATAAAAAGGGTTTCTGCATCAGAATGATGTTCCAGGGCTGTTGAGGTGAGGAATGCTGGTGGAGCATCATACGAGGACCAGGAGCTGGCCTACATCTCAACTGCTTCAGCTCCCACATGAACTCAAATAAATCGGGGAATCTTACGGATCGTTTTTATGAACATCTTCATATTAAATCTCTCCCAGATAGCAAAGCTGATGAAAAGCAAAGTTATTAGTAACCACTCCCAGAGATTAAGATTCCACCCAAATGCAAACATCCCACTGGTGTTGTGTACTTCATCCCGACCCGAGATGGCTGCATGCATGAAAAAGGAATTTTAGAAGATTACGTGAACCTGAAATTAGAGCCCATGTTTCTAACCAAGTATTTCTGACAGCAGTTGACTGATGCTGGGAAAGGCTGAGACACGCTTTGATGCCTCTGACCCAAACATGCCACTCAAGAATCTGGATATGCTTAAAAACAACTGAACAGGTGCGACTAGCTCTTGGATGGTAGCAGCAGCTTCTCTTGTAGTTGCAGGAATATATTATAAATAATATACTAGTCCCACTGTCTGTAAAGGCCTCTCCTTTAAATATGATTTATGTCATTCTTTTGATTAATATGGATATTATACAGTTTGCAAAAAGATCATCTCCAACAAGGTGCTTTTTAAACTCACTTTTAGGTCAAGTTTATCTACACAAACTAACCTCTGTGCTCTAATCCGGTGTTAAAAATGACCCAAACCTGCAGGTCTAGGGGCACACATTCTCTCAAATAATGGCTAGACATGAATGAAGAGCCCAGACCAGTGACCTTTGAACCCAGTTCTTAGTCGAAGAGCCAAAATGTCCAGAAGGGACACATGAAAATCTAGATCATGGCTATGGGCAAGATGGCAAGAGGAAGCTCGAGCAGAGAGGACAGAGAAAGAGAGGTAGTCGTTGTTTCTCCAGTCTTCTTCACACCTGCCTCCTCCTCCTCCTCCTCCTCCCTTTGCTTTTAGAAATGTGTCATGTAGTCGGACCTGTTGCCCCTCCCACTGTTTCAGATGTTGGCCTTCCACAGATTTCTACTCTTTTTTTTTTGTGGATGTTTGACATCATTTCCAGACGTGCGCTGTCGTTTGTGTTGAACTTGTAGCTGACGCACTTCCTGTGTGCTGGCTGCCGTATCCCATCATACCGTTGCTGTAGAGATTCGTGCCAGCCATGTGCTGAGTCATCTACGAAGAAACAAAACACACTTAGTTGTTGGAGGCTTAAAATGGAGTTAAAAATCTAAAAATCTAAACACACACACACACACACACCTGGGCCATGTTCCACTGTAGGTGCTGGGTTTGTGGCCCTCCATAAACGGGTTGTTGGGGTAATGCAGGCACGCCTCCAGCCTGCTGCTGGGCCGTTACACCGTTCTGCTGCTGTCCCATCATGCCTTGGTTCATCCCTGTCATATAAGGTGACGCAGCAACTCCAGCGGGCTGTGCCATGACACTCTGAGCACCCATGAAACCATTCTTCTGTCCCATCATGCAGTTCTGTTGGGCTCCAATCCTGCTGCTTTGCTGTACCCCCATAACTCCACTCTGCTGCTGTCCCATCATGGCCATTTGTCCCACCCCCCCCACCTGGGCCAAAGAATGGTACGGACCGTATGGATGAGTTGGGTATCCCATTCGGTTCATGTACAGACCTGCTGGAAACAATTAAATAATCACATTTATCAGATGAATATTAAAACACAATCATCTTTGGGAAACATCTGCGTGGTTCTTACCGTGCGCAGCCATGCTGCTAGCGTGCACTGAGGGGGTGGACGAGTACAGGGAGAGGATAGAATCCTTGGACAGCTTCTTGACAGCTCCTTCCTCTGTTTTGGGTTTGGGATCCACAAACAAACTCAGGTTTTCAGGCACTGAGGCAGTCACCCTGCTCTGAGGCAAGGAGCTAGAAACAGGCTGGATGGACAGAAACGGCATGAGAATGCAAAAGTACTCCCCCATCCCAGTTTCACACCTTACATCCACAAACTTAAATGCTTGTATTGAGATTTTCTGTGACAGACCAACAATAAATGTGGAGTGGAACGAAAAAAAGTTCCACTCAAAAGTTTAAGATCCCTTCAAAATGGCCCAAACTCATATTTAGCATGGCTGGATTTGAACAAGCTTCCACATCGAGCGTCAGAGGACACGAGACGAACATTTAAAAGAATGCTTAAAGCTGCTGTAGCAAAACAAGCAAAACAAGTTAGCATCAACAGCTTTTTCATGTCTCTTAATGTTCCGACATATCATAAACCCATTGAATATCGTTTACGTCAGAGTATTAGCGCACATCCACACGTCGCTGGAGGGAAAAGAGCCTCTGCAGCTGCTATCCAGAGCTGCACCACTGGGCTTTAGCTAACAACATCAAACCTAGAGACGTAGATATTACTACTTTAGATCATACAACACATCTTTGAGCAGACGATCAATAAGTTACATCCCAGAGCTTCCAGATCTGTTTGAAACAGCTAACGAGCTGTGGATGACAGAACTGGCCACTAGTACGGGGATGTTTACAATTATTTTATTAACACGTCTGGACTTTACACAGCTGGAGCAGCGAGAGTATCAGTGGGTTAATGTTGAAGGTTGCCGTAACACGTCGTCTTCGGAGAGGAACAGATTCTTTGTTTATTCTGTTGTTCATTCATTTGTTTGTGAGCACAACGCAGATGACCGATTAGCTAACCGGCGTAACTCGTCAGCGTGAAGGACCAGTTTCACTGCTTACACAGAAAATTGATGCAAGTCACAAGTGTGTAAGCACCACTGTTGGCTTGTACACAGAAAACCACCAAACCACATGCTGTACCATCGTTTCTGTAGAAGCCGAGGCAGGGAGGAGGCTAAAGAGATCCAGGGCGGAGCGCGCCTGAGCCGAGTTAGACACCACTGGACTCTCGTTACAGTCTGGAGCACATCCGCCACCATTAGACACCACAAGAAATGGAGCAGGAGCATCTAATGGAATAACGGTTCCATTAATCAATTAATCAAACGAAGCCTCACATTTTAAACCTTATAACGGTAGCAGTGTGTGCACCACACCTACCAAATACAAAGCATTAGTCATCAGATTAGGCAAAGCTCAAGTGATACAATACCCAGTCCTAGCAGGTCTGTAACAGCCTGGGAGTCCATCTTCGGGCTGACATCTTTTTTCTAGAAAGTAAAATAAGGTAACATTAATACTACTGATGTGTATTACCCGTCCTAAACTCAGACAGGAAACACAAACTAGTCTCCTGTGAGAACTCATACCCTTCCATCCTCTCCTAACCCCCCTCTGTGCACTCTATGGACTCAACTACCCTGCGTCCAGCTAAACGTTGACAGCTGAGCAGATGAAGTCCACGATGAATGCGACCGAGCTGAGCCACTTCCCTGAACGCTGACCGATGAACCTACCAGTTTCATCTTCTCAAACACAACGGGCTCCTTGGGGATGTTGTCACAGCTCTTTTCTTTCTGTAAGTAGAAAAAATAGTTTTCCCTAAAACAGCTCAATTGTACCCGATTATCCAAAACGTTTAATTCACTGGTCGCAATCGGTATGTGAAAACCCTTTCAATACAAACGGCAAAACAGGCTCCAGGAAAACATCTCAAGCTGCAGCTATAGTAAGTTAGATCATTGTGAGCATCAACACTCACCCTCAGCATCTGGATGTCTATGACCTTATCCATATACTTCTTCTTTTCATATTTGTCCCGGATGAAGATTTCTGCAGCCTGGTCCGTCTCGGGGCGCTGGAAGCACTCCGGTAAGAAGGCTTCGTAGAGACGCTTGGCCTTGGCGTTCCCCATCTCTTGGACACACTGAGGTCATCAACACAACGCCAGTTACATTGGTTTAGATTATTTTGACAAGGACAGGACAAACAACAAGCAGATCTACTGGGGTTTGAACTCACAACCATCTCAGAGAACGGTCTGAAAAGCAAAGCTGTTCCTTGGTTGGGCTTTTAAATCAGTGTAATCAAAATAAAACTTCCTAACATCACACCTGCAGGAAATTCTGAAAAATATATAAGAAGGTAAAATATTCAGTTATAGGAATCAGATTACACACAAGCATCCGGGGGAGCGCAGTAACAATGCCATAAAGCATGTGTGCGTGTGTGTGTGTGTGAGACTTGTCCGTCCATGCATGGGTGTATCAACTGGGGGCTTCCGGGGAAGCTTATCCCCCTTTCGGGGGAGGCGGGTTCCCCCTAGCTCCCCATAACATAAACCCTGTGCTATACATCCCATCAATAATGGACCAAGACTATCTAACAGCTGTAGAAACTGAAAAATGTATTTATATATTTTTTTTTCAAAAATAAAAAGGGAATAAAACACAAGAAGACTGAATGTTAGACAACTCACATTCACGTTTACTTCCTGTCCCTCTGGTTTTAAATGGTTTCCTTTTTCGTTTTTATGTACAGCACTTTGTGCGACCCTGCTGTAGCAACTTTAAAGTGCTCTCTACATAAACATGGCATGGTATGTGTGGTATGGTTCCACCATGGCATTTGCCTAATTACAACATTAATAGAATTTTTAATGACATGTTCATCTTATTAGCTGGAGTCTATCCCCGCTGACTGATGGGAGGAAAACGTGACGGATAATAAACAGGTAACCTATTAATCCTAATGCTGCCATTGTTTCATCACTGCAGCTAATTTTAGTAAGCCAAAGTGGAGCTAGCAAAGCACTGTGGTGAAATCACAGCTAAAGCCACCATTTCCTTTAAACACCGTAATGGGTGCGAGTAAACAGAATGGGTCTAAATGCAGATTGTACACCAGGTTGGTTGTAGGATATTTTAAACTGAAACTTTATATTGTATCTGGACAAATACCCAGTTTTGCTAATGCCAATTAGCCATGCTGCGAGATAAATCCCAATAATAGAACTCTAAGAAACCGATTCCGAGGCTGTCCAAAACTTCTCATTTTCAACCCGTAGGCCTATCTATTAAAGATATAGCTCACTGATGTCAGTCCCTCTATTCATGTGGACATTTTTAGTTTCTGTCATGGACAATAACCTGGTTTAGACATCAGAAAGTCAATGAAATCCTTCTAACAGACTAAGAACAGATCATTGTTTCCGCCCGGATTGTTTTACACGTAACACACTCGAAGTCCGATCACTCCGTACTTCATCATGGTGGACAACTAAGTAATGATCAAGATGTATCTCTTTGGTTTTTATCTCTAGCCCCATCCATCCATCCATCCATCCATCCATCCATCCATTTTCGGCCGCTGGTCTAGGGTCGGGTCGTGGGGGCAGCAGCCTAAGCAGGGAGGACCAGACTTCCCTCTCCCCAGCCACTTGGGCCAGCTCTTCTGGGGGAATCCCAAGGTGTTCCCTGGCCAGGTGAGAGACATAGTCCATCCAGCATTCCCTTGGGTCTCCTCCCAATTGGACGTGCACAGAAAACCTCACCAAGGAGGTGTCCAGGAGGCATCCTAACCAGATGCCCAAGCCACCTCAACTGGCTCCTCTTGATGTGGAGGAGCAGCGGGTCTACTCCAAGCCACTCCCAGATGACTGAGCTTCTCACCCCATCTCTAAAGGAGAGCCCAGACACCCCGCGGAGAAAACTCATTTTGGCTGTTTGTATCCGTGATCTTGTTCTTTCTGTCACTACCCAAAGCTCGTGGCCATAGGTGAGGGTAGGAATGTAGCTCGACCAGTAAATTGAGAGCTTTACCTTCTGGCTCAGCTCTTCACCACAACGCCTGCATCACTGCAGATGCAGTGCAAATCTGCCTGTTGATCTCGTGCTCTATCTTTCCCTCATTCGTGAACAAGACTCAGAGATACGTAAACTTCTTTGCTTGAGGCAGAACCTCATCCCTGACCTGGAGAAGGCATTCTACCCTTTTCTGACCGTGGTCTTGGATTTCGAGGAGCTGATTCTCAGCTCCAGTGAGAGCCGGGGATCACGTTCTGATGAAGCAGACAGGACCACATCATCTGCAAAAAGCAGAGACTCAATCCTCAGGCTACCAAAACGGATCCCCTCAACACCTGGGATGTGCTTAGAAATCCTGTCCATAAAAGTTATGAACAGAATCGGTGACAAAGGACGTCCTCTCACTGGGAACAAGCCTGACTTACTGGCAGCAACATAGACCAAGCTCAGACATGTAGGGACTAATTGGCCCGTATCAAAGGCCTTGGTAGCCTGTATTATAGTCCACATAGGGACAAGACGTGGTCGAACGCCTTCTACAGAGCCACAAAACACACAGACTGGTTGGGCAAACTCCCAACTCGATGAGCTTCAAGAGGTAGTCCTTCAAGACTGTTATAAAAACATCTCAGGTGACTTCCTCTTTGAAGCTCATCGAGAGAATGCCAAGAGTACAAAGCAGTGATCAGAGCAAAGGGTGGCTATTATGAAGAAACTAGAATATAAAACATGTTTTCAGTTATTTCACCTTTTTTGGTTAGGTACATAACTCCACATGTGTCCATTCATAGTTTTGATGCCTTCGATGAGAATCTACCAATCATGGTCATGAAAATAAAAACAACACATTGAATGAGAAGTTGTGTCCAAACTTTTGGTCTGTACTGTGTGTCTGAACATGGTGTTCATTATGAACAATCCATGTCGAGCACAGAAGTCCAGTAACAAAACACCGCTCAAATTCAGACCAGGGAGGCCTACCTCCCCACCACACCTCTCCAGGTCATTGCCCACATGCGTGTGAACGTCCCCCAGCAGAACGAAGGAGTCACCAGAAGGAGTGCTCTCCAACATGCCCACCAAATACTCCAAAAAGGGTCTGTATTACCCACCCTACTTTACCTAAAGTCTGCCTCTGATAACAATCTACATCAATATTGATATTTTTGACTCGCCAAGAGTCTTTTGACCTCTAAGGCTGTTTATATACAACTGTTTGGTAGCAACACATATTGTACTCTTCATTGATATGATCAGAATAAAGGATGACAGCTGCTTCATGTTCCTTCGTATCAAGAAGCATAATTGGCAGCTTATGTACGTATATGGTGCTTTTATTTATTCACTCCGATACTGGCAAGTTCCTGGTTGATAATCAGATACTCTGATGAGAGAAAACTTTGTTTCAAATACAAGTCTGCTGACCTGGACCTGCTCCTGCGTCCACTGATCCAGGTTGACCGACTTGACTTTTGAGATGTGTACCCCCAGATTTCGATGAATGCCAGCGCAGCGGATACAAACGAAGATGCCCAAATTCCAGGAAGCCCATCTTGGACCTGGGAGAAACACGTGAAACAGGTAAGTGAGATAGGTGGTGAAGCTGAAGAACGATCATCACCTAGAGCAATAATAGAGACGAGTCGGAAACCTCAATTATGAGTCTGAATTCAGCAGGGAGCTCATCTAATCTGGTGTAGTCCTGCGCAGTCCTGACAATAGCAGCCGATGCAAGAGTTAGAGTGAGACTGAGTGGTGCGCGGGGGAGGAGCACACCACACAAAAGACTCACACACACACACACACACACTCAGTCTGGATACCTGCAGGGATGATTACTCGTGTGTGTGTGTGTGTGTGTGTGTGTGTGTGTGTGTGTGTGTGTGTGTGTGTGTGTGTGTGTGTGTGTGTGTGTGTGTGTGGGCAGTCTTATCTGAGCAGGCTATTTTGTTCATCTCACCGCCATATGGGTCTAAATGGATCCATCTGATGACTGGGCCACCCGCTCAGTCAGGGATGTGGTCATTTTAAAGTAAATATGCTGCGTTTGGAGTCTTGCACTGGTGCTGTAAGCTATTAAAAGCATTTATTGGACAAAACATCTGAGGTCAGAAATAAACTAGCATTGGTTTGCTATTTTTGTGAAGAACAATCACCTTTTCTTAGTTCCATATCTACCCTCCCTCACCAACATACCCCCACCTTTTCACTCATCTGCATTATGAGACTGCTGGCAACCTCACTGATGCACTGTGACCTTTTCACCACTAGGTGGAGGAGCAGTTCATGATTTAGATTCTTCTTTCCTGTCAACTCATTTTATTGTGCTGCCATTTGGGAAAAGGCCATTCAATGCTAATGAAAGAGGAAGCTGACTTTCTGAAGGAAAAACATGTAAACCCTTCCTCTTTGAGCGGAAACCGTGTGTTTAGGTAAGGAGTCCAGGAACAGCTTCTCGTCATGGTTGCAGGACGACGAGTTCATGCTGGTGAGGCGACAACTGAACCGCGTGGGATTTTCACGCGTTTAGGAAATGCTCAGAGCAATTTCTACGAGACAAATAAAAGACACCAACAAAGATGCAGGGATCTAACCCTTACCCCCATCATCCTGAGTGTAGCTGCAGCATTAGTTCTCATGCTGGCTAATAATAGTAGAGGTACTCTGCAAAGCCTGCTTAAGCACTGTTAACACAGGCATTAGACGGGCCTTCATCATCGTTTTTCCGAGTTCTGGATGCCAATTCTTATCTCAAAAATTCACCCCTCCATCCACTCCCTTGTCGTTCCTTATCTCTCTCACACAGCCCCGTTTAATCCCCTCTAAGAACTTCTCTGCGCCTGTTGCTCATGATTGTTTCTAGTGGTTTGCAACTTTTCACAATAAGCTCATTTTAGGTCAGCTGCCAGCCCACGTGTGCTAGTGCTGCTCTGTTACAGTTAGGGTTAGCCAGCCCTAACTCTCACCCTGACCGAGGTGGAGTTTTTAAAACTAATGTTCATCACAGGATTTTACAACCAATAATTCTGGGATGACTTCATGCCTCTTGCTGCAGGTTCAGTCTGTTTGCAGTTTGGGTCCGTTTCATTTGACATTTGAAGAGAAGCAGCATGTGTATTTGCCTATTTAGTCAGAGGCCAAAGGTCACAGATTTATGCTTCTGTACATCTGCACTGTTGAGAGTCTGGCATGTGCCTTCTTTATGCATTTGAGCCACTCACTCACTCACTCACTAGTTTGATGTAAATCATTCAAACCACCCACAACTAGTGTGGGCCATACCATATCATTAAAGCTACGATCCAGAGGACAATTACACACCGTTAACTCCCAACACCGGTTAAAGGCACACTTGGCAGTTTAGCTTGTTTTGGCACCCCCTAGTGTCCATATTAATTCTCTGTGGTTAAACCGAAAATGAAACTTATCTCCTCGCTGTCTGTCCATCTTTTTAACACCTTAATACAGGGTAACTGCAGGTTTAAGGGAGCCAAATTTAAGACTTTTTAAGACCTTTTTTAAGGCCACTTTGACCAAATTTAAGCTATTTTTTAAATTAAATTTAAGCTATAATTTCCAGCTATTGCCTGGAACCGGTGCTAACCATGTCGCGAACGTGGGATTAATCATCCAGTTACCATTAAACTTGCACTTCCCCATGGCGCAAGCTCCCACTAGCTTAACCAGCTAATGTGCTCATCTAAAAATAACCCCCTTTCACAACCAGCTGAATGTGTACGGTTCCGCTTACGCCAACATCATGCACAAAAAATGCTGAACGCTAACTAGAAATTCACGAAATTTTTATAGAAATAAAATAATCTAGTTTATTGGATCTTTGGTCATTTAAGACATTTGGAAACTGTATTTAAGGATTATTTGTCATTTTTAAGGATTTTCAAGGCCTTAAATTAATTGGAAAAGCAAATTTAAGACTTTTTAAGGACCCACGGATACCCTGTAATAACAGCTGAAATGTCTTCCAGACTTCCTTAGTGTCTACAGGAGTGACAGCTGTGTTCATGGTCTAAAACATGCAGGAAGCAGACTGCGGCGCCAGGTATGTCACAGGGTTAGGGTTAGTGTGAGTGTGATATTCTGGCCACAGAGGGCGGTAGGGGTCTGAGTGAAATGTCATTAAACCTGTAAAAGGATCATTTTAACACATAGTAACTCCAGACAATTATTTAAAAATATGAAACATCCCTTTAAAGTCAAAGTCCCTTTTGTGGTCACATGCTGGTGAACTTTTCCCTCCACATTTGACCCATCCCTGTGGGGAGCGGTGAGCTGCAGACACAGCTGCAACCGGGAACCATTTGGTGGTTTAATCCCAAACCCCTTAGAGTCTTTGGTATGACCCGACTGTGGATTTGAACTCACAATCTCCCACTCTCAGGGTGGACACTCTACCACTGGGTTAAGTAAATGGCCTGTACCCCCCCCCCCCCCCCCCCCCCCCCCAAGGCGCTGCACAACACAGTCATTCATCCATTCACACGCTGGTGAAGGCTGAACACTGGCGCCACCAGTCCCTCTGAGCACCACCAGCAGGCAAGGTGGGCTAAGAGTCTTGCCCAAAGACACAACAGCAGCATTATTTGGTCAGAGCCGGAATCAAACCTGCAACCTTCACATTGCTGGAAAATCTGCTCCACCTTCTGAGCTACTGCTGCCCCCTAAACGACAGTGTGACGTAGATCTGTCAGGATGTTCGAATCCTAGTTGTCTATTTTCTATCAGACGCTAATGCAGCAGACAGGTGTAGGAGACTATTCTCATTTCATTTCACCAACGTCTACAAACACTAAACGATGCAAAGCTGAGTGCAAAACTAAATGTTGGAATCAACACCAGAACTATTTAAACAGCAAATATAGACTGGCATAAATAAATGTTACTTGTTCTGGTTTCTCTATTGGGTCCAAGTGGGAGCAACTCTTCTAGTTCCTGTCGGTGCAGGTCTGTTTCTGCCCAACTGGAGCACACCTTCGTGTGTTTTATCCAGCTATAGTTGGAAGAGAGTGGGAGGAACACAGGTCTGAAAAAAGGACGGATCGACTGAACAAACACAGCAGAAAGAAAACAGAAAACAAGATTCCACCGATGTGGGGAAAGGCGGGTGGAGGAGGCTTCCTTTGAAGGTTTGATCTCTCCAGACGTGACAGATCATTTTAGTCCACAAGAGGTGGTCTTTGGTTATCTGGTGATTTCGCTGTGTGTGTGTGTGTGTGTGTGTGTGTGTGTGTGTGTGTGTGTGTGTGTGTGTGTGTGTGTGTGTGTGTGTGTGTGTGTGTGTGTGTGTGTGTGTGTGTGTGGAGGGGAGGAGGTATGTGATGAAAAGCGAGCACAAAAAATACATTTACACACTTTTTGATGACACTTATATTTCAACAAACACCTCTCGCCATAACGCACAAATTACACAAACACATTTGCTCAGGCGCACGCCCACTAGCTTACACATGCACGAGTGTGTGAGCAGGTGCCTATGCCTCATTAGCCTACATCCCACAAGGATAACTCTCCACAAGCACCGCGATAATCCTTCAGAGCCTTCACACACACACACACACACACACACACACACACACACACACACACACACACACACACACACACACACACACACACACACACGCACACGCACACACGCACGCTCCTCCTCCCCTTTAGCATATGAACCAAACCGGAAAGCCTGAAGCCATCCTGCGACCCAGTCCCACCCTGAATTAGACAGATGGACCCTTATTGATAATTTACTGCCCCACACCATCTGTTTGACCACGGTTGAACTGTGGGTGTGACAGGTTAAGTTAAATATCAGCCCAGCACCATGGTTGCATACTCGTAAAAGTACCGATTCCACAAAGCTGGAGCCAGCTCACAGCACTGAGGAAACAACAGGAGGGGAACCAAGTCCAAGATGCTGTCCGGGTCCTCGGTACTAAAGCCTGGATCTGCTAACGAACAGATTCTTGTTACTTTATCCGGAACAACCTGATGGTACCGTACTGGCACCATGTACCAGAGGCAAAAACATTATAGCTAGTGGCCAAAAGGCAGGAACTAGATGTTAACAGCCAGTTTTCAAAGAGAACTTTTGAAGTTGTTTAGAAACTGGGGCTGTGTGGTGGCGGCACTATTGCTTCAGAGAAATAAGTTGCTGGTTCAAATCCCAGCTGCAGCCTTTCTGTTCTCTGGTGCTCTGTTTTCCTCCCAAAGACCAAAAACATGCATGTCAGGGTAACTGTCCCCAGGTGGGACTGGGTGTGATGGACTGCAGACCGGTCCAGGGCGTCACCCGCTCCCTGCTCAGGAATAAGCCTGTCGGTGGCTTTTATGTTTGTTTTCATTTTTAAAAAGCAACAAGACTTGTTTTGTCATGAACTGATTTATTTTAAGCGTTTTTGCATCTTTATGAATTAACAAAATCCTCCCAGTTGTGCTTGAAATCAGGTTTTACTGGGAGCCTCTCAGGCCATTAGAGAGGCAGCAGTCCCACAGTACCAGCCACTCCCCACACTCAAAAAGCCAATCGCCTTCTTGTTCACTGGAAATCCCTGCTGAGTTTTGATTGGATGAGATTAAAGAGTTGCGTGGGGGGTGGGGGGGGGGGGTGACATATCCACAGCAACCAGGGCTGGGTGCATGCATAAACACGAGCACAATGGACACAATAAATAAAAGCTGAAACACGCTCCGTCATTAACCTTCGCACCGCCTCTTGAGACCAGAGACTGAAGAATCAACTACATTATGCCCCCCCCCCCCCCCCCCCCACACACACACAGCATCTACTCATTACTTCCTGACAGCATTAAGCTTTTATGTGGAGGGGAAGTGGTTAAGAAGAAAGGACGGTGTGAACAGGCAGCAGGGAGGCTCAGCAGCATCAACACAACTCAAGTCCTGCAGCTTCAGCGTCTCTGTTGCTGACATCCAAGGATTGTTGGACAGAACCATTTTTACATGTTCTCGTACGCAGGCACCTCCTCGGCTCCATGCATCTCTTCCTCCACTGTCACCCACAAGGGTTCAGCACTTTCTATCAACACAAACAAGATTAGATCAAACGTCATCGAGATCGACCTGAGAGAGGGAGGAAGGGAAGGAGCTCACGCATCTAGGTGTGTGTGTGTGTGTGTGTGTGGGGGGGGGGGGGGGTTGCTCCTTTAAAGAGCTGTCCGTTCCTTCATTAGTAGACTCAGTAAAAGACAGATGAAGAGTTAGAGTATGACTAAATAAAGGCAGAGCAGAAAATCTGATTTGGTCGAAAGAAAAGATCCTACGTGTGCCCTTGCTGCTCCTTCCCCCTCAAGCCCTAATCTGATCTGAGGAGCAGTCGTTTCAGGAGGGAGAAATCAAAGCGATGACTAGTAACACAACTTATTTACCTGGCTTCCTGAACAGCCTTAACGAAACAGATGTTACTTCTGATGGGATTGATGAGCTCACGGCTAGTCTAACCACAGCCAGGAAGGACCTTGCTGCCTTCTGAAAACGGTCCCAATACTTATTATTTCAGAGCAGTCGGTATGACTCCAGTGCAGAAACCCTTTTTCTCAGTTTCACGTTTATTTGAAAGCTTGAATAACAAACAAAAGGTTTGTTGTTGTGGGAACGGAATCAAACTAATCTTTACGTTTCACATAAAGGCGGGCTGGGTTTTGACTGCAGCAGATGTGATGGAGCACTTCTGTACGTTCTGTTGGCTCAGGATTCACCGCAATCTCAAGAAAACTTCTGACTAGCTAGCAGTGGCATCCCTGTCAGCTAACTCTTCCACATTACAACACAACAGGACAGACAGAAACACACGATATGGTTTTGATCCGGACAGAAAGGAATTCCATCTGGATGTGGTGAAATCACACATCGGCATAGTAGTCTTCTGAAAACTGATACCATCCTTACTCCGCTCAGACTAACCCTTAGCTCATCAATCCTGAAGGACATAAACAAGATTTCTCCAATCAGAAATCGTTCATAAAGGCATCTACAACAGGTACGGTTGTAACCATGCCTTTTACACAGAAACTCACCTCAGAACGACTGAAAATATGTTGAATTTATTGAGTTATTTTATTTCATTTACTGGCTACGTGAAAAACAAAATCCTGAACGGTGCACCTTGGTGTTTAGGTGGCCCGGAAGGATGAAAGACTTAAATCCAAGACTCAAAAATCACACGCAGTCTGACACCAAACATGTTTTTCACGATGAAATCGAGCAACTAAGAGAAAACCCTGTTTGGTGAGAACGCCCGCAGAGCAGATTAAACTAATTCCACTTTGTGACATTAGCTCTGATTTAATAGCTCCTCTGATAAGCAATCAAACTGGTCGTGTCTCAGCTAGATCTGCAACGGCTGCGTCAGATATTCATGCTTTTAATTATCACCAGTTAAACATTATTTAACAAGTAGATCTCATTAGTTAAGCCGTGTTACGACCTGGAAACTGAACATTGCTGTTTGTCTATTTCTCTAACGTGATGCATATAATCAAACCTCAGTTCCAGCGTCTGTGCTGCTACTTCACAGCTCACAGTAAGTGCGTACAGACCTCCCGTCATCCCCTCTCAGCGTCATGACGTTTCCAAACAAGCTCAAAGGAAAATGTTTCCGAAAACGATGCCGGCAGATTAGATTTGGATCGGTCGGTCACTTCCGAGGACTCTTGTGCTGCCACTGCAAGGTCAGGGTGGATGCCGAGACAAATGCAAAGAGGGGAATAAATATTTAATTAGAAATAAGAAATAAACATGCAGATACGGCACGTGGAGGAGGGCACAATGATGGCGACGGCCTTCAGTTCGATTGAGTTTGGTTTATTTATATAGTGCTGTATCCTCTCAAGGCTCTTCACAAAGTAAACATTCCAGTACAGTTGAGTTTTGACTCTGTGGTTATTTGATGGGTTTGGGAAACTTCTATTGTTCATATTTTATTACTACAGTTAGCAAATGGGCCACTGTGCTGTTTAAAGGGGAACTAGGCAGTTTGCTTGCTTTTAGCACCCCCTAGTGTTCATTTGTAGAACCAAAAACAAAACTGAAATGTCTCCCGGCCTTCATTAGTGTCTACAGGAGCAATTCATTACTAAATTAACCCTCTCAGGCTCAAAATATGTTTTGATAAAAGGACGAACAACTAAGTCCTTCAGGGGTTCTTCCGAGTAAAGAAATACTCATGAAATACGTGTGTGGAGTACCCAGGTAGGTAGGTTTTAACAATGCTAATCTGCAACGCCTGCCTCCAGAGGGATAAACAAATCAGCTGTGTTCAAGATCTAAATGTGGAAATGTGCTAGAAGCAGACGGCAGCGGCGCGCCAGGTATGTCAGCTCAGTTTGCCAACAGAGCAGCCCGCCAGTCTAAAGTTGCAAGTGGAAAAGTCTGGAATATGGCCAGATCAAACTGAAACAAGCTGAAGAAAAAGAGTTCATCTGGTTCCTGGTGTTTGCAACCAAAATGACCCTGTTTACCCAGCAGCATGGCAAAACAGTCTAAACAAACAGCTGCAGCCACAGTCCACACACACACACACACACACACACACACACACACACACACACACACACACACACACACACACACACACACACACACACACACACACACACACACACACACGATTTAATGAGCACAAATGAAGAAGTGACCGTATTTTTATCAGATATGAGCAAACATGCAGGTAAATGAAGCACCAGGTAATCTGAGTAACGACATCAGCTCATCTGCCTGCAGGGACAATCTGTCCAGGGTGACTCCAGCCAGCTCAGGTGTTTCTGCAGCTTCTGCTACATCCTCACAGGAACTAAAGGAGCTACGGGCTCGTCTGCAGATCCTTGTGCTTGTGGATGAAAGAGGCATCTAGTCAGAGCCTGCCGAGCATCATGTTACTTAAGGTATTTTGGCATGATGTAAGCTCGTGCCATTTTTCTGCCTCGTGAGGAAGTTGCACCATAGTACAATGTAATTGGCGGAGAGCCTGAAATGCCGCATTTCCCGGCGTAGTAAATGCAGCTGGAGGTTAAAGGCATGAATAGGGAGGGGTGATGCCGGCAAACACCCACCTTTAGATTCGCAGTCAGCGCAGTATTTGTTCTCCTCCAGCGCCAGTAAGGAGTTGAGGACCGTCTGGAATCGGTCCACGTCTTTCACTGATTTCCCCGTCATGGCTGCTCTGAAAGTCCACCTGCCTCCTCTCTACCACCGGCTTGAGTCAAATCAGATCAAATAAAACTAAAGCGAGCGCTCAGTTCCTCCCCTTCCTCCTCCTCGGTGTGTGGAGCCCGGTGAGTTTGTTTTACCACGACGGGATGAGAATGAGCCAATCAGCGCGCAGCTTTAATGAGGTACCCCAATCAGGTGGCTTCGCACAGGAACACACCACCTGACTTCCTAGACTCCAAATGTGCGTTCGGCTTTGAGCACATCTGTAACCCATCACTCTGTGCCGTGGGTCCTCAGAGAGCCTGATAAGTCCAGAGCAGGAGCACACTCTTCTACTGCCATCGTCTGGCCAATCAGAGGACTGCTTCTACCCAATAAGGTTTTCTTTCCCCTCCAGAACTCTAGAGGGCGCACAACCTGCTACAAACAGGAAACCCAAACCGAAATTGGAATCAAGGTAATCATTTCGGTATTGTCCAAACGATCATATTTTCAAAATAAATCTCAAAAACCGCATTTTATCGTATAAAAGCTCTATATACAGCAAGTGTGTACATGTGAAGTATTATGTTTACAAAATATGTCTCTAAATTAGTATTTACGTTAAAACCTCACGCATTAGTTGTGATGTAGCCATTTCAAAAAGTATTATGTTGAAGTTTAACCGGACATTATTGTTTCATATAGCTTCCTTTACAGAGAGGTCCGTAACTGAACGAGTGATTACGGAAACAACTGCTTAGCAGGAGTCAAATAAATAAAGGCTCAGGCTCTGGTTTCCTCCTGTGTACGCCCGTAACTATTTCCACGATGTCTCGGCAGTCCAACAGAACAACAGACAACAAGAAGATGGTAGGTGACATCCGCAGGAAGTACGCTGCACCTAGCTAGAAAGGCTAACTGTTAAATAGCTTCGCGTCCACAGCAGCCGCCTCTTCTCTGCATGTTTGACAGGCGCGTGTTGTGTGTGGGTAGAAGATCCAAAAGACATTCGAACTTATTACATTTGTGTACCTTTTATTTAGCGGCTTCGTGTGGCAGCTGTCAGCGTTTGTGTTAAGGGATGGTAGCACGTTACCAGGGTCGTGCTTAAGACTCATTTCAGGAAGTGGTTGTTAATAATTTGCTATGTGTCACGCATGTCTCACGCAAACATAATTAAGTCACTTTCCCACCTTTGCCTTCAGAGCTCGGAGCTGTTTACTCTCACCTACGGGGCTCTGGTCACCCAGCTTTGTAAAGACTATGAGAATGACGAGGAGGTCAATAAGCAGTTGGACAAGATGTAAGAACTCTCATATCACCACCATCAGTATGTGTGCATGAATCATCCATATTAGGACCACCTATTTTGGCAGCAAAGCTGCTCTGATCTACCAGGACTCCGTTAGAACAAGGGATGCATCGATCAGGTTTTTTGCTGCCGATCACCGATACCGATATCAAAGAATGCTGATCACCAATACCGATTACCGATACCGATCATGTGGATTGGCCAGACATTTTCTACAACATTATAATGAGTGCTACAAACTACATAATCTGGGAATAAAGGAAATGTAACCTAATCTAAAATGATCTGCCACCTCATGGTTATTGTGACCAAAATTACCACGGTTTTCGGTATTATCGCGGTATTTTTTTTAAACGTGCTACATTTTCACACAATTAAATAAACCCTGTATATCAGGAAAATATTGTCCTCGGTGTGTGTCCTTCCAGTGAGCTTTGCAGATGTGGGAAAATGTCATCAGGCAGTAATCATTGTTAAATTCATAATTATTCTCGGAGAGAGACCAACTCTCATCTGCCCCTGGGAGCCCCGTAATGCATAGCGTCATTTCAACATGGGGGTGTCCGCGACACGGTTTATACAGGTGCTGGCCAGTAAATTAGAATATCATCAAAAGGTTGAAAATATTTCAGTAATTCCATTCAAAACATGAAACTTGTACATTATATTCATGCAATGCACACAGACCAATGTATTTCCGATGTTTATTACGTTTAATTTTGATATTTATAGGTGACAACCAATGAAAACATCAAATCTGGTATCTCAGAAAATTAGAATATTCTAAAGGCCAATGAAAAAATGTTTGTTTCTCTAATGTTGGCCAACTGAAAAGAATGAACATGAAAAGAATGTGCATGTATAGCACTCAATACTTAGTCGGGGCTCCTTTTGCCTCAATAACTGCAGTAATGCGGCGTGGCATGGACTCGATCAGTCTGTGGCACTGCTCAGGTGTTATGAGAGCCCAGGTTGCTCTGATAGTCGTCTTCAGCTCCTCTGCATTGTTGGGTCTAGCGTATTGCATCCTCCGCTTCACAATACCCCATAGATTTTCTATGGGGTTAAGGTCAGGCGAGTTTGCTGGCCAATCAAGGACAGGGATACCATGGTCCTTGAACCAGGTGCTGGTGGTTTTGGCACTGTGTGCAGGTGCCAAGTCCTGTTGAAAGGTGAAGTCTGCATCCCCATAAAGTTGGTCAGCAGCAGGAAGCATGAAGTGCTCTAAAACTTCCTGGTAGACGGCTGCATTGACCCTGGACCTCAGGAAACAGAGTGGGCCAACACCGGCAGATGACATGGCACCCCACACCATCACTGACGGTGGAAACTTTACACTGGACCTCATGCAACGTGGATTCTGTGCTTCTCCGCTCTTCCTCCAGACTCTGGGTCCTTGATTTCCAAAGGAAATGCAGAACTTGCTTTCATCAGAAAACATAACTTTGGACCACTCAGCATCAGTCCAGTCCTTTTTGTCCTTGGCCCAGGCGAGACGCTTCTTGCGCTGTTTCTTGTTCAAGAGTGGCTTGACACACGGAATGCGACACCTGAATCCCATGTCTTTCATGAGTCTCCTCGTGGTGGTTCTTGAAGCGCTGACTCCAGCTGCAGTCCACTCTTTGTGGATCTCCCCCACATTTTTGAATGGGTTTGTCGTCACAATTCTCTGCAGGGTGCGGTTATCCCTAGAGCTTGTACACTTTTTTCTACCACATTTTTTCCGTCCCTTCGCCTGTCTGTTAATGTGCTTGGACACAGAGCTCTGCGAACAGCCAGCTTCTTTAGCAATCACCTTTTGTGTCTTGCCCTCCTTGTGCAAGGTGTCAATGATTGTCTTTTGGACAGCTGTTAAGTCAGAAGTCTTCCCCATGATTGTGGTGCCTTCAAAACAAGACTGAGGGACCTTTTAAAGGCCTTTGCAGGTGTTTTGAGTAAATCAGCTGATTAGAGTGGCAGCAGGTGTCTTCTATATTCAGCCTTTTCAGAATATTCTAATTTTTTGAGATACCAAATTTGGAGTTTTCATTAGTTGTCACTTATGAATATCAAATTTAAATGTAATGAACATTGGAAATACATTGGTCTGTGTGCATTGCATGAATATAATGTACAAGTTTCACGTTTTGAATGGAATTACTGAAATATTTTCAACCTTTTGATGATATTCTAATTTACTGGCCAGCACCTGTATGCAGGTAGCGGCGCTGCGGCTGCTCTATATAGCGACTCGTTGCATTCTCCCTCGACCCAAATCCTCGGATCACGCATTTTAGCTAAAACGCTAACGTTAACTTGCCTTGCGTTGACTGTAGAGTTGTGGGTGATGGTCACACAGATGTGCCATGAGATTTGAAGCGTTGCTGCCTTTCTCAGACACTTTTTCTGCACGTGCTGCAAACAGGATAGCCGTCTTCTATCAACTGTCCCCCGGCATTCTTCAAATATTCAAAAGATGCCCGTACTTCCCACTTTGTCTTCTTTGAGGGATAATAAATGTCCTGAGTGCTGCCGTCTCCTCCTTTGGCCATTATTTCGGCTTTAGCTTCAAGAAAGTTTTGGTAGTAAACAGCAAAGTGCGCATGTGCCGCCGGCAACTTCAGCAGATGATACGGTGGCTGGTAAGGGTCACCGCGCCTACACCGCAGCCACGGTAACCCACCAAGATAATATAGTTTTTTTTTAAAAACAAGACGGTTATTTTTATTGTCAACTTTTTTTTTCTTACCGGGGTTTACCGCTACACTGGTTACCGTGACAACCCTACCTGATAGATCTGCTTTGATCTATTTTGAAAACCCCGATCAAAACCGATAGGGGCGCTATCGGCCGATTACGATCAAATGCCGATCCATCGGTGCATCCCTAGTTAGAACAAGGACCGATTTAGGACTTGGCACCAAGTCGTCAGCAGCAGGTCCTTTAACTCTTCCAGACAGAGAGAAACTGTGGCATAGAATCTTCTCTAGGATTTAACTCTCCATACGTTTTGTTTCATCCTTTGTTGGTGACCACAAATGTTTTTTCTTTCTTCCTCATCTGCAATCCTTTTTCTCACAGGGGTTATAACATCGGAGTGCGTCTGATTGAAGACTTCCTCGCCCGTTCCACCATCGGCAGGTGTCAGGACTTCAGAGAAACGGCTGACATCATCGCTAAGGTAACTGGAAGGTTCCAGATTAGGGGTGGGCATTGATACGTTTTTATCAATATCAATGCCATTGTTGATTCTCTCTATCAATCCAAATTAGGGATGTCCCATTCTGATATTGGAAGTAATTCAATATCGGCCCAAAAACACTGTATCGAACTGCATCAAAAATTTCCGTTCCGTTTCGCTTTAAATTTAATTCCAGCAATTCTATTCAGCAGCACCCAGGTCCAGCATGCAAAGCCCATGTAATCAGAACAGTGCGTGCTAGCAAGGAGCAGTGGCAATCGTGTGACAGTAGTTTTTGTTAAAGCCCGTAAAAGACAGTTAGGCTCACTGCAACACTTGCCACGCACAAGTTTCCCGTGGTGGAACAGAACCAGGAAAGTTTAATATGTTCAATCTCTTCGTGCATTTGAAGCAGGATCACTAAACATTGCATGAGGATTTTCAGTGTCTGAAATGGAAACTAAGGACACTAAACTTGTAGCAGTTGGTATTGGACAGTAGTGTTTTTGTTTCTCATGTCTCTGACCTCAGCAGTTCCTACCATTAGCTGACAGTAAAACGTAACCAAAGTGACTTTCAATTAGTATTTTGTACTTTAAACAGATATCTTTGGTTTATTTCCATCCATCCATTTTCTGAACCCTCTTGTCAAATGTCAGTTTGTTAATGATAAATAATCAGTTGTACCTGGTATCAGTTGGAAGATCTTTCCAAATGTTCTCCTTTGTGCTCCTTGTGAATGCAGAGTCGCCATCTTCTTGTGCGTGTAGGGTTGCTTTTGCAAAATGGGCAAAATCTCTCCACAGGTCACTGGAGTGTTAGTGTGGATGTGAGTGTATGAGATAGGCAGTGTTAGCTGGTTAGTTACCTGCAGTATTAACAGGAGAGCTCATCAACTTAAAGTGACAATGTGTATTTTTTTTTACCATTAATCTCTGGAAACATCCATCAAAATGTTGTTGTAAATGAATTAAAAGATGCCCAGTTGTTGAAAAATATTGGCAGTTTCACAACATTTAGCCATAAAAATCTGTTCTAAAATACATGAGAGGGGGTCTAAGGGTGTTTCTCAATGCCAAGGAACCTCACCTTGATGTCTTGGCCTCGCCCCGGTTGCCAAGGAGATATGTCATCAGGAACCACCAAGACGTCTTCCAATGTTCATGTTCTACTGAGGCGTGTGTTCTCCATTTGTTAGCCGTTTAGACACGGGAGATGTCTTGTAGCCTAGCCTTTCCCAGAATACACCGCAGTATTTTCAAAAGGACGGCGGATCAGAAGCCAGCAGCTACTTCAGGGACAATTTTCAAGTTTAAAAGTAAGTCAACTAATTTAAAACGTTTTTTTTTAGATCCAAAGAAGTTATCTATGGTTGGTTAGTAGCTTAGTAGTTGCAGCTTCGGTGGCTAGCGGGTAGTAACTTACTTATATATTTAATTTAACAAACATATACACAATTTAAAAAGTAAAAGGCTTGTTATATATTTATATTGAAACTAACACATAAAAAATATAATGTTATCTCCTCTGTCATGTGACATTGTGGCCGCCGCGGAAACTGTGGTCACGTGATGCAAGTTTGTTGTTCCATTTAACCATTTTCTTTGACCAAGGAAGGACAATGTCCTCATAAGCAAGATGCCTGGCCTCGCAAGACATCGCCTCCCAAGGCCAGGCGCAGTGACATTGAGAAACACCCAAAGTCTCTAGGCGACGCCATATTGGATGCCATGTTTTCTTGTATGGAAGCCTGTGAGGACAGAACACGCTTACTAATTTGTAACAAATGGTTACAGTAGGTAATTATTTTCCGTCTGGCCCAATCTGAAGCGTGGAGTTTGACGTGTTTTGAAAGCATCGAGCGTAAACAAATAGACTGGAAACGTGGGCGACACGTCCTTCTGCTTTTGAGATGGATCCAGAAAGTGATGCTTCACGGCCGGTGGAAAGGAACCCGTCCTCTTTCTCCGCAGCTTCTTACCACCAAGTACGTTTTGTGGCGATCACATGTCCAGTGCATATGGACTGTCATTTTCTGAACTGACCCTACTGATTTCCTCAGTAAGGTCATGAGAAGCTGATGTCTAACTCCAGCCGTCATCAGGCTAGAGACGGGGACACCTTGAACAGTCTCAGTCCTTCACAGAGACAAACAGACCAATAACCATTCCCTCACCTAGAGACAGGATTCTGGTCTGGGGAGAAACCCCAGGCATGCACGGGGAGAACATGCTAACTCCCCTCAGAAAGGCTGCAGCAGGGATTCAAACCATCAACCTTCTAGCTGTGAGGCAGCTGTGCTCCTGACAGCTCCACCATGCAGCCCCATAAAAATGGTTTATGGTAAATGGCCTGTATTTGATATAGCGCCTTCTAGAGTCCTGGAACTCCTCAAGGCGCTTTAAAACACAATCAGTCATTCACCCATTCACACCCTGGTGGGGATGAGCTACGATGTAGCCACAGCTGTCCTGGGGCGCACTGACAGAGGCGAGGCTGCCGAGCACCACCAGCAGGCAACGTGGGTTAAGTGTCTTGCCCAAGGACACAACGACAGCGACAGACTGAGCAGGGCTCGAACCTGCAACCTTAAGATTACAGGGCGAGCACTTGACTCCTGTGCCACCGTCGCCCCTGTAAAACCAGTTTGAATGAATTCAGCCGTTGACTTTATTAATGTTGTAAAGATTTCAGGTTGGAAACTAGCCTGGCCAGCCTTCCTATAGATGTGAACATGTAGTCTGTCCACGACCCACAGAGAGAGCTCGGTCGGGGGGCGGGATCTACGGTTGTCTTTATACTGTCTCCGCACGCTACTGGACAACAAACAACGCAATCACCGCTACAGATGTCAGTCAACGGAGCAGTCCACCATACTCTGCTGAAGAAGACACAAATACGTTATTTTTCAAAATAAAAGTCTTAAGAACCTCTATCTAAATCATCCAAAGTTGATGGCAAAGCTGTTTGAAACAAGCTGCCGCCATCCTAGTTCTGCCCCGTTGCAGCAACATCCCGCCCACCAAACCAATGGAGCGTAGTAATTGGCCAGACACACAACTACACAGGCCAATGGTAGACCTGCTGAGGATCTTATGGGGCGTGGCTAGACCGACAATCATTTAGCTTTGGCTACGGTCTGTCTAGATTTCTAGGTTAGTTAAAAACATCTTTGTGCTTTAAACTCAATAATAAATAAAAAACCTAACTTATCTTAAATAATAAAAGAACGTTTATAACAACTTGAGCATCATTCTTCCATATATAACCTGTTTTTGTTGTTTCTCCTCTCTGACCACATGGTGGTGTGCTAGGTAGCATTTAAGATGTACCTGGGAATCACTCCCAGTGTGACCAACTGGAGTCCAGCAGGAGATGAGTTTTCCCTCATCCTGGAGAACAACCCTCTGGCCGACTTTGTGGAGCTGCCCGATAACCACAACACACTCATCTACTCCAACCTGCTGAGTGGAGTCCTCAGAGGAGCGCTGGAGATGGTGATTTAAGCCCTAGTTAGGTTTGATTTCTTATGGGAAACGGCTGTAAAGCTGTAGGAGGCAGTTTACGGAGCGTGTAGAGGAAGATAAAACGCCAATAATTGCTGCTACATCTGCTAAAATATGGGATTAGTGGTGATATAGTTGCAGTAGTGCTGTCTCTAAAGTAAACAATAAAACAACCCAAGGGGAAATATTCATTTTGCATCTAGATGTAGAAGGTCTCTGTAAAAAGTGTGTTTACTATTAAAGCTAGGTGTTTCTTGTACATGTTGGGCCATCCTGCATGGTTTTAAACCTGTTTCCTCTTATAGAAATCAGAAATGTTACTTTTAAAAATCTGATTATAAATCCATCGTTCGGCAATAACGACATCGCTGATGTGAATGGAGCAACCCAGGTCCAGGCCACCGCATTTGCTGGTAGACACGGTTTGGTGGTTGACTGTAAATCCCTTCACCGTGAGTCAGAAACGTGATGAAGCTCAGATTGTGGTGAATCTTTTCAGTAACACTTTAGCAGCTGATGGTCCTTGAATGTGTCCTACAGTAGGATATATTTCCACCTCAGTCCTGCTGCTACGATGTGATCTAACGCTCCGGTTCTGGTCTAGGTCCAGATGGCGGTGGACGTGAAGTTCGTCCAGGACACTCTACGAGGGGACAACGTCACAGAGATTCGCATGAAGTTCATTAAGAGGATTGAGGAGAACCTCCCAGCTGGGGAGGAGTAATAAAACCAAGACTTGAACTTTTATTCTGTGTGTTTGGAGGGGATGACTGATGTCTAGAAGGAACAGTGTCACGTCTAAAGGAAAAGATGAAGAACAACGTTGTCTATCAAACCTGAAGGACATTGGACTTCCCTGTAGCTTGATGCGACGATGATGAGTCTTGAGCCCTTTGATCTCATAGCTGTTGATTAAAAAGGAACCAGTTGATTCAGCCAGATAAACAAAATTCACTTCCAGATAAAAACCTAGTAAGCAGCGTCCTACAAAACCCTTTCTATGACAAAATGGTTAAAAATACTATTCCACTCTTGTTATACGTCACTGTTTCTTCAGCTAGTTCACGACCTGTGTCCAGACTGTTTATTCGTTTTTATGTCATCTAAATTGGTCTCACTGCTGGATAATTTATGTTCTCTGAAGTAAAACCAACAAATGTAAAGCCGTGCATTTCTCATGTGGTTTGAAGACTTCTGACAAGTCCAGCAGCTGCTCTCTAAAACGCGCACCGTACCTTTTACCACCTACCACCACTGGAATATCGCAGCCACTCTGTAACAGTTCCAGACCTAAAGCCTGGTAATGTACAGGATGCATGGTAAGTGTGTGTGTGTGTGTGTGTCACACCTGTGAATGGCTTTACGTCACCCAGAAGTAACGAGCAGACCTTCCCCTGTTAGAGCCTTCGAACACCTCGTCAATAATCGAAAACACAGACGGCCATTCACACACACACACACACACACACACACAATTCCTGCTCTCACGTTGGGATAAAACAACAACCGTCTGGTTTGGATACCATGAGAGCATTAGCCATGTTTTTCTTATTCTTTCTTTTTTTTTTTTTTTTTGTTATTGTGCAACAGAAGAACATTAGTACCAAACTCACGAGTCTTCTGAAAGCACTTAGAGAATGAGATTGTCAGATAGGGATTTCCTCTTTTGAGAGGTCTGTCAGCTATTAGCTGCTGGAAAAGCTGGCGGCTCTACTCGTCCTGTTTTATAGCTGCTATTAGCTGAACTCACGTCTGATTTCACAGCTTCAGCAGAAACCTGATGGGTTGTTCTTGCAACCACCAGAGGGTGCTGTCCACATTGGGTTCCACTTGGTTTAAAGCTGAGTCAATGTTGACTTGGATATCAGAGGAGTACACTTCAGTATTTGTGAGGAGATCAGCAGATGGAGAGAACAGAACCGTTTGCAAAAAGATCTCATGACCTGGAGGGATTTTAATGAAACTAAGTAATCATTAGATGTATCTAGAGTTGATAGCCAAAGCTCATCTGTTATAGCATAAACACAAATGGCTACAAGTCGGTTTGACAAACACATTTTCGGCATGTTAGTGACTCCAAAGCTCTTTTCAGTTTAATCATTCACACACTGATGGTGATGGCTAGCCACAGCTGCCCTGGGGCACAGAGATGAGGCTGCTTGTGCATACAGGTGCCCATGGGTCCTCTGACCACAGGTGAGGATGGTGGCGTGTCTCGCCTGAGGACATCTGATGCAGATAAAGCCTGGCCAACCAATTAGAGGGCAAACTCGTAACCCCTCAGCCATCGTCACCCATGCTGCTAACTAGTTAAGCAACATCTTTGTGTCAACTGTTCGCCATTGGAGTCAACCCTGTCGTGTCCTAATCAGAGCATAATCATCACATGAATGGTATTTAGTAAGCCTCGTAAGCCGTACTCAAAGGGAAAAAAGGTCTGATGCACCTGTTTGAGGACGTGGAAGTCAGCCAGAGGAGCTTAAGACTGCAGGATTTGGAGCCTTATTTCCTGATATGCAGACATCTCTGATTGGCTAACTGCATAATGACTCTACCAATGACTGTTTGCTCTGCAATGTGTATGTTTTATCTCCACCAAAAACACAAGCCTGGAGGAGTTCTGCCATGGTGTATTCGTTCATGCTAATGGTTCGCTTCTACTAACTAAGACTTTCTTCCTGGACGCTAAACAACAACAGCCTTTCCTGTCGAGATGGGTGAGTCCATGAATGTTAAGTGACGTGTGACATAGATCTGTCAGGCTTAACTGAACCAAATTGTTTTCTGTCTTTTTCCTTTGAGAAGCTAATGTAGGAGATAGGTGTAGGAGACTATTTTAATGTTTAGCCTGCATGAAAAACTCAGTGACTGATCATGTTAAAAACCAAGTGAAAATTGTTCCTCAGAGCCTGCTCCTTAAAGTCACTCTGATTCTACATGGTTGCCACAAACTGAATTTAGAAATGATTCAGATAAATAATAAGTTGACACTATTAATCCCATTAGGGAGATAATTTCTCTGAATTTGACCCATTCCTGTGGAGCAGTGGGCTGCTGTTTGTACAGCGACCAGGGTACAACATTCAGGATTGAGTATCTTGCCCAGTGATGGAATAACGGCGTTTAAAACAATGGTGTTACTAACGGAAGTTAAGTTTTCTGGTAACGTGTAACCTAATTAACTACTGTCTTCTACTGTCAAAGCGCTGTTTCTGTAATGATGAGAAAATGTGTGTTACTATAATTACGCAGCAAGGTGTGTGTTTAAGCTGTCATCTGCTGATCTGGAGCTAAAGGGGCAGATGTTTATACTCAAGTGCGTTAATACTTTATTTAATAGCTTATTAATGTTTAGTAATGCACTATGTAACGTTATTAAAGAGACCTTTATTGTAGAGTGTTACCGAAATGCTAATTAAAAACACCCTACATACATACAAGTGAAACAAAGAATCAGAATATGGTGCAAAAGTCAGTTTATTTCAGTAATTAGACTGAGAGACTATTTAAAGGCTCAGGGACCATTTACAGGTGTTTTCTATTTACTGTTATACATTTTTTTAGATTGGAGTCTTGTGTCACATCACACAGTGACATTTGAACAGTTTAGATTAATGTCATGTTTCCTGTTAGTAGTTCCTTTTGTTAGGTGCCCATTTCTATTATTCATAAATTATAATAAACAGACTCACATTTTATTATGTTCAAGTCTGTTTAGTCATTTAAATGATAGTAAAGTAAATTTCCTGAATTACTTTTACTGAGTGAAATATACGGATACTTAGCTAAAACGTAATAAACCGTTCACACCAGCACATACTCCTAGTTTTATGGATTGCATGGGATTTTTAATTCAAATTTTAACATTCACTGTTGGAGTCAACCCCATTTGTCTCTTGGCAAAATGTCTCATGAACCACTGGAGGGATTTTAACGGAACTCTCAGAAAGTCATGATGGCCTGATTTGAATATGCTTAAATTGGAAACTGTAATCTTCTCATTCTTTGGCTGACAGTTCTACAAGGACAACAATTTTCTGCTCAACCTTCAACACATCTTGGGATGGAATGGACCACAAAGGATACTCCAGACCTACCCTTAACTCATTCACTGCCACTGATGACTAAAGTAATCAATTGCGTCATTGAATGGAGCGGGTTCGGGAATGAACTTTCGCCTCTAAAGTTGATTTTCATCTGTGTGTGTCACACGTCACGTGATCATGAAGCAGACTATCCATGAATGAGGAGATCAGTTCAGGATGCCACTATGCCTAAAGCGAGGTGTAAACCGGAAAAGCTTCTGCAGCCAACCTTTCGGTAACGAATTATGAAAGAATGGAAAAAGCTCAAAACACAGATTTTTCCTGATGAGTTCAGATTCAGATTCAGATTTCAGATTTCAGATTTATTGGCCAAGTAAAATTACATTTACAAGGAATTTGTCTTCGGTAGATGTTCGCTCTCTAAAACATACAACAAACACAATAAATGAGAATAAAAATACCTAAAAACACATAAGAACATGTATACCCACACACATGTTCATTTACACACACACCTATATACATATATACATACCCACACACACGCACGCACACACACACACACACACACACATATCCATAAGCATACTGAATTAGTATTAAAAACTATAATAAAAGGATGGTAAAATAATCTACAGATTCAGGAGAGAAATGGCTGAAGGAAAGAAACTGTTCTTGTGTCTGGTAGTTTTTGTGTACAGCGATCTATAGCGTCTGCCAGATGGGAGGAGATGGAAGAGAGTAGATGCAGGATGTGTGGCATCTTGGACAATATTCACTGCCTTTTTCCTGGTCCTGCTGATGTACAGTTCCTGGACAGAGGGCAGCTGGGCACCAATGATTTTTCCTGCTGTTTTAAAAATACGCTGTATTCTGCATTTGTCCATTTTTGTGGCTGACCCAAACCAGACAGTGATGGATGAGCAAAGTATGGATTCGACTGCAGCAGTATAGAAGATGATCAGCAGCTCTTGTGGTAGGCCATACTTCCTTAGTTGCCGTAAGAAATACATCCTCTGCTGAGCCTTTTTGAGGATGGAGCCTTCCCTTCAGCCTACCCTTTCTTTTGGGAGTTTTGGTGTTTAGATGATCACATAGCACAGTATTCTGTGAATGCCAATGAATTAAAAAGAAGGAAGTATTTGAATTTGGACTGCCTATGTTGCATTGCTGTGAAGTAATCAGCCTTCCAAGGATGCAACCACGGATTTAGGACAAGGCCTATAATTGATGGAGTCAACCCAATTCGAGATGGCAACCATAGTGTCCATGTGGTCTTAGCTGAGTCATCGCCGGCACATTCTTGAATCCTAACAGATTATATTACACAAGTTTTGACCAGATCAGCTTTGACTTCCATCTTCCATCAACATAAAATGACCTTAGTTTTAAACTCTGGCATTAAAACCAGCAGATGATATGCATTCCTTCAAGGAATGAGAGGGCTTTAATTTCATGGGATCATCATTAAGTGGAAGCACCAAGGAGCCCAACAGTGTATCATAAATCTTAGAGTGCCTCTGGCTCTGTGCATATCAGTGCACCCAGTAGGCCTCAGAGGTGTATGTTGGATAGAAACCAGAACAGAAACCTTTTTATTTCATTTGCTTTCACAATGTAAATTATTTGGCAGGCTCCAGTCCTTCTACCAAAGGGACAAATTAACAGCTGAGTTTGTATATTTGTGAGAGTTTGGATCCCTCTAGCATATGCTTGCAGGATCTTGGAAAATGCATAGACAAATACACATGCTGTGCACAGAGGCCAAAGTAAGGATGAATTTATTAGAACCACTGAGCTCACAAATAGGTGTTAATACACACTAAAAGGACCTTGTACAAACACACAAATGGGCAGTTTTAGCTAGCTTGAACCATGAACCTGGTGAGAGCTCTGGTCTGATGGTTTTCACAGTTTTACTCATTAAACAAAGAAAATATGAAGCCTACAATCTAGCTACTGCTCCAGTATGACATCACTTCTCATAACGTGGACAGATGGGATTTCTATTCCCTCTTGCTAAACTGCAGATGTTGTCGTAGAATGAAAACACTTGGAGGAAAATAAAGTGATTTTTGAGTTACTTAAGAGTTTTTGGGCCACAACTTGAAGCTTTC